GTACCTTCGGTGCTTGATACAGTGTTGCCAGTAGTCTCAGAGATGGTTGTACTTTTGGTGATGGTTACCGGCGAGGTGGTAGTTGCGACTGTTCCTGTTATTGTCTCGGATGTAGTGCCAGTAGTCTGTGAAACCGTTATACCTTTAGCTATAAAACGAGAAAGGTGCTGTTTTTAATACAGAAATATATGTGTATTTATATATTCTTGTGTGGATACCAGATAAAAAGAATAATATTTTTTTGTTATATATCGCGCATGTGTTATATATCGCGCATGTGTATATATCGCGCATGTGTATATATAATTATTTTGTGTGTATATTATAGTTTAAACTTAATATATACATATATAAATAATAAAATGTAAAATATTTCAAATGACAGACAATTCATTTGAAAAATCGTTGTCGCTTCTAAAGCTAAAAGTGTTGAATTTAGGAAAAATATATGAACAAAACTGATCAATGATACCAGGCTTATAATTTAGTATGCAAGCAGAGTGTTTCGTCTACTTAAATCTTATGAATGTCGTACATTCAATATGAATAATATTGGTGCCTTTCAAAAAGTACATAATTTCTACATAAAAGACCCTACCTGTTGTACCGTCAACTGTAGTAATATTCGTGTTACCTATAAAACACATGTTTTTGTTTCCTTAAACAAACATCCTACCTGATACATATATTTTAGCATTAGGTAATGAATATTTCAGACTGTTTATGAAGTCTTCACACTAAATCTGTTGGATGTGCTCTAATGGATGTTTTAACCTCGGAAAACATGATTTATTTATCAGATGTTGTTGGCTTTCAACTAGCTGTCAATATCTGCAAGGACTCTTAGGTCGGTAATTTGCGTCTATTGTCTTTTTTGTCTTTTTAATTGTCTTTTGTTTTGTGCTTCGTGTCGTGTCGATTTGATGATTCAAGCCTTTTCCAGCAGATTATAACAGTTTTTCTTATGTTATGCTTTTTCACCACTTTGCCATATTAGTGCGTTTGAAATTAACCTTACGCAATATATCATTTTGAACTACGATGCGAACGATAAACCCTTGTCTTATTATTGTTAATGGGGTTTACTAAACTAATTTTTAGGGCTCAGATGGTTGCAGAATTTATGGTTCTTTAACATGTTTAAGGAGACAGATTAATACAAACACTTTTTGCCTGTTTCTGAATCAGACATGTCACTATGTAAATGTAGTTTTCTTTTTGATGTATTATTTTCATTTCATCGTAAATGTCGTTTACACTAATTATGTTTCGATGCGCAAAGTTTACCCCGCCCATATAGTTTTTTTTCTCCATTAAAATCGTGGTAATAACTTTCACAGTATCCACGTTTACAGCAGATGTACTAGTAACCATATGAACCACGAAGGCTAATTAAAACTTCCATTATAAGATAGCATATCAAACATTTTTATGCAAAAGATTTGCACAGATATGTTTAATATGAATAATGCTATTCTGTTATACCGAGAAATATAAGCTCTCTAACTTGAGCTCGTATGTACATTAAATGCGACCCCTTTTATGACATACAAAAATTGACACAATTTGTATATAAAAAATATACTCTACCTGTTGTTGTGCCGTCATCTGTCGTGATTGAACCTATAAAACAGTTTTTGTGTAAGTTAAAACAAACATGTATCCATATATAAGTCCGACTTTGTAGAAAATACTTATACTGCAAATGAGTATAAGTTCCCCGTCTCTGTATCGCATTTACATTTACATGAACTTCATAACAATATCTTAAAGATCAACTTGTTTTAAATGAACAGACAGGATTGACATTCGGATTTTCAAACTCAAATGTCAAATACAGACACAGATATAGAGGCATTTTTAAAAATGTGCAATGAAAATATTCATATGGCATTATATTACTAGTATTTCGTCAACTTACAACTTACAAGCAAATGGGTCGAGTGTTTATCAATTAAAAAACAAGACATATTTTATTGAAAGGTTTTTTTAATGACTATTATCTAATAATGTTTTTGTGTAAATTCGCAGATGTGTCCTTTGATAACGTGCTTTCTTTTTGAAGTCAGAATAACCAGTACTATGAACGCTTAGAAGTTGTATCTCACATACACATCTGCAAAGACGTCTAATTTCAGAGCAACATTTAATCGAAACTAAGTTTAACTAGAATTAAATTTGAAAGAAAACCTGTTTGAGAGTTTAAAGAGACAAAGAACCAATCAAATATGAAAAAGATTTTCCAGACGGCATGTTGAGCCTGAAACACGGTTGTACATTAACCGGGTTTATACTAACATGAGCAACACGATGGGTGCCTGATAAGAAGCAGGATCTGCTTACCCTTCAAGAGCACCTAGGACTACTCACGGTTTTTGGTAGGGTTTGGGTTGTTCTGTCTTTAGTTTTTTATGTAGTGTTTTGTATACTTTTGAATGTCTTTTTTCTTTTTTTATTTGCCATGGCGTTTGCAGTATTTTCGACTTTTAGTTTTGATGTTCCTTTGATACCTTTTGTCTTTCTTGTACCTTCAGTGGTGGTTACTAGCGCGTTTGTTGCGGATGTGATAGTCGTTGTCTGAGCTATAATACTTGTAGTATGAGAGTCGGTTGTACCTTCGGTGCTTTTCACTGACGAGGTGGTAGTTGCAACTGTTCCTGTCGTTGTTTCAGCTGTAGTGCCAGCAGTTTGTGATACTGTTGTACTTTCTGTGCTTGTCACTGGCAAGGTACTAGTTACAAATGTCCCTGTTGTTGTCTCAGCAGTAGTGCCAGTAGTTTGAGAAACAGTTGTATCATCGGTGCTTGACACTAATGTTCCAGTAGTCTGAGAGACGGTTGTACCTTCGGTGCTGGTCACTGGCGAGGTTGAAGTTGCGATTGTGTCTGTTGTTGTTTCAGCTGTAGTTATAATAGTTTGTGAGACAGTTGCACCTTCAGTACTTGATAAAGTGGTGCCAGTAGTCTGCGACACGGTTGTACCTTCTGTGCTGGTCACTGGCGAGGTGGTAGTTGCAATTGTGTCTGTTCCTGTCTCATCTGTAGTGCCAGTACTTTGAGAAACAGTTGTACCTTCGGTGCTAGAAACTGTAGTGCCTGTAGTCTGAGACACGGTTGTACCTTCTGTGCTGGTCACTGCCGAGGTAGAAGTTATAACTATCCCTGTTGTTGTCTCAGCTGTAGTGCCAGTAGTTTGAGAAACAGTTGTATCTTTGGTGCTTGACACTGTTGTTCCAGTAGTCTGAGTGACGGTTGTACCTCCGGTGCTGGTAACTGGCGAAGTTGTAGTTGCAACTGTCCCCGTCGTTGTCTCAGCTGTAGTGCCAGTAGTTTGAGAAACAGTTGTGTCTGCGGTGCTTGATACTGTTGTTCCAGTAGTCTGAGAGAAGGTTGTACCTTCAGTGCTGGTCACTGGCGAGGTGGTTGTTGCGATTGTGCTTGTGGTTGTCTCAGTTGTTGTTCCAATAGTCTGTGAGACAGTTGCACTTTCGGTACTGGATAAAGTGGTGCCTGTAGTCTGAAACACGGTTGTACCTTCTGTGCTGGTCACTGGTGAGGTGGTTATTGCAATTGTGCCTGATGCTCTCTCATCTTTAGTGCCAGTAGTTTGGTAAACAGTTGTACCTTCGGAGGTAGAAACTGTAGTGCCAGTAGTCTGAGAAACGGATGTACCTTCAGTGCTGGTCACTGGCGAGGTGGTTGTTGCGATTGTGCTTGTGGTTGTCTCAGTTGAAGTTCCAGTAGTCTGTGAGACAGTTGTACCTTCGGTGCTAGATACTTTTGTGCCAGTAGTCTGAGACACGGTTGTATCTTCTATGCTGGTAACTGGCGAGGTAGTAGTTGCAACTGTCCCTGTCGTTGTCTCAGCTGTAGTGCCAGTCGTTTGAGAAACAGTTGTACCTTCGGTGCTTGACACTGCTATACCAGTTGTCTGAGAGACAGTTGTACCTTCAGTGCTGGTCACTGGTGAGGTGGTAGTTGCAACTGTGTCTGTTGTTGTCTCAGCTGTAGTTCCATTCGTCTCTGAGACAGTTGTATCTTCGATGCTTGATACAGTGGTGGCAATAGTCTGAGAGTCGGCTGTACTTTCTGTGTTGGTCAATGGGGAGGTGGAAGTTTCGGCTGTGTCTGTGGTTGTCTCAGCTGTAGTTCCAGTAGTTTGAGAAACAGTTTTACCTCCTGTGCTTGACACTGTTATGCCAGTAGTCTGAGAGTTGGTTGTTCCTTCGGTGCTGGTCACTGGTGAGATGGTAGTTGCGATTGTGCCTGGTGCTGTCTCATCTGTAGTGCCAGTAGTTTGAGAAACAGTTGTACCTTCGGTACTAGATATTGTAGTTCCTGTAGTCTGAGACACGGTTGTACCTTCTGTGTTGGTCAATGGGGAGGTGGAAGTTTCGGCTATGTCTGTGGTTGTCTCAGCTGTAGTTCCAGTAGTTTGAGAAACAGTTTTACCTTTTGTGTTTGACACTGTTGTGCCAGTAGTCTGAGAGTCGGCTGTACTTTCTGTGTTGGTCAATGGGGAGGTGGAAGTTTCGGCTGTGTCTGTGGTTGTCTCAGCTGTAGTTCCAGTAGTTTGAGAAACAGTTTTACCTCCTGTGCTAGATATTGTAGTGCCAGTAGTCTGTGACACGTTTGTACCTTCTGTGCTGGTCTCTGGTGAGGTGGTTATTGCAATTGTGCCTGATGCTGTCACATCTGTAGTGCCAGTAGTTTGAGAAACAGTTGTACTTTCGGTGCTAGATATTGTAGTTCCTGTAGTCTGAGACACGGTTGTACCTTCTGTGCTGGTCACTGGCGAGTTGGTAGTTGCGGCTGTGCCTGTTGTCTGAGCTGTAGTGCCAATAGATTGAGAAAGAGATGTACCTTCGGTGCTTGACACTGTTGTTCTAGTATACTGAGAGACAGTTGTACCTTCCATGCTATTTACTGGTGAGGTGGTAGTTGCGATTGTGCTTGTCGTTGTCTCAGTTGTTGTTCCAGTAGTCTGAGACACGGCTGTACCTTCTGTGCTGGTCACTGGCGAGGTGGTAGTTAGGGTTGTGCCTGTTGTTGTCTGAGCTGTAGTGCCAGTTGTTTTTGAGACAGTTGTACCTTCGGTGTTAGATACTGTAGTGCCTGTAGTCTGAGACACGGCTGTACCTTCTGTGCTGGTCACTGGCGAGGTAGTAGTTGCAACTGTTCCTGTTGTCTTAGCTGTAGTGCCAGTAGTTTGAGAAACAGTTGTATCTTCGGTGCTTGACACTGTTGTTACAGTACTCTGAGAGACGGTTGTATCTTCGATGCTGGTCACTGGCGAGGTGGTTGTTACAACTGTCCCTGTCGATGTATCAGCTGTAGTTCCAGTAGTCTCTGAGACAGTTGTATCTTCGGTGCTAGATACTGTAGTGCCAATATTTTGAGACGCGGTTGTATCTTCTGTGCTGGTAACTGGCGAGGTAGTAGTTGCAACTGTCCCTCTTGTTGTCTCAGCTGTAGCGCCAGTCGTTTGAGAATCAGTTGTACCTTCGGTGCTTGACACTGGTGAGGTGGTAGTTACGATTGTGCCTGTCGTTGTCTCAGCTGTAGTACCATTAGTTTGTGAGACAGTTGCACCTTCGGTACTTGATAAAGTGGTCCTAGTTGTCTGAGACACGGTTGTACCTTCTTTGTTGGTCAATGGGGACGTGGAAGTTTCGGCTGTACCTGTTGCTGTCTCATCTGTAGTGCCAGTAGTTTGAGAAACAGTTGAACCTTCGGTGCTGGTCACTGGTGAGGTGGTTGTTGCGATTGTGCTTGTCGTTGTCTCAGTTGTAGTTCCAGTAGTCTGAGACACGGTTTCACCTTCTGTGATGGTCACTGGCGAGGTGGTAGTTGCGGCTGTGCCTGTTGTTTTCTGAACTGTGGTGCTAGTTGTCTGTGAGACAGTTGTACCTTCGGTGCTAGATACTGTAGTGCCTGTAGTCTTAGACACGGTTGTACCTTCTGTGCTGGTCACTTGCGAGGTAGTAGTTGCAACTGTCCCTGTAGGTGTCTCAGCTGTAGTTCCAGTAGTCTCTGAGACAGTTGTATCTTCGGTGCTAGATATTGTAGCACTAGTATTTTGAGACGCGGTTGTATCTTCTGTGCTGGTAACTGGCGAGGTAGTAGTTGCAACTGTCCCTGTTGTTGTCTCAGCTGTAGCGCCAGTCGTTTTAGAATCAGTTGTACCTTCGGTGCTTGACACTGGTGAGGTGGTAGTTGCGATTGTGCCTGTTGTTGTCTCAGCTGTAGTTCCAATCGTCTGTGAGACAGTTGTATCTTCGGTGCTTGGTACAGTGGTGGCAGTAGTCTGAGACACGGTTGTACCTTCTATGTTGGTCGATGGGGAGGTTGAAGTTTCGGTTGTGTCTGTTGTTGTCTCAGCTGTAGTTCCAGAAGTTTGAGAAACTGTTGTACCACCTGTGCTTGACACTGTTGTGGCAGTAGTCTGGGGGACAGTTGTTTCTTCGGTGCTGGTCACTGCCGAGATGGTAGTTGCGATTGTGCCTGTCGTTGTCTCAGCTGTAGTGCCAGTAGTGTGTGAGACAGTTGTACCTTCGCTGCTAGATATTGTAGTGCCAGTAGTCTGAGACAGGGTTGTACCTTCTGTGCTGGTCACTGTCGAGGTGGTAGTTTCGGCTGTCCCTGTTGTTGTCTCAGCTGTAGTTCCAGTAGTCTGTGAGACAGTTGTAACTTCGTTGCTTGACACTGTTGTGTCAGTAGTCTGAGAGACAGTTGTACCTTCGGTGCTGGTCACTGGCGAGGTGGTAGTTGCGTTTGTGTCTGTCGTTGTCTTAGCTGTAGTTCCAGTAGTATGTGAGACAGTTGTACCTTCGGTGCTTGACACTGCTGTGCCAGGAGTCTGAGGGACAGTTGTACCTTCTGTACTGGTCACTTGCGAGGTGGTAGTTGCAATTGTGCCTGTTGTTGTCTCATCTTTAGTGCCAGTAGTTTGAGAAACAGTTGTACCTTCGGTGCTAGAAACTGTAGTGTCTGTCGTTTGAGAGACGGTTGTATTTTCGGTGCTGGTCACTGGTGAGGTGGTAGTTGCGATTGTGCCTGTTGTTGTCTCAGCTGTAGTTCCAATAGTCTGTGAGACAGTTGCACCTTCAGTACTTGATAAAGTGGTGCCAGTACTCTGAGTCACGATTGTACCTTCTGTACTGGTCACTGGCGAGGTGGTAGTTGCAATTGTGCCTGTTGTTGTCCCATCTGTAGTGCCAGTAGTTTGTGAAACACTTGTATCTTCGGTGCTAGACACTGTAGTGTTTGTAGTCGGAGACACGGTTGTACCTTCTGTGCTGGTCACTGGCGAAGGGGTAGATGCGTCTGTGCCTATTGTTGTCTCAGCTGTAGTGCCAGTATTATGAGAAACAGAAACTGTTGTACCTTCGGTTCTAGATACTGTAGTGCCTGTAGTCTGAGACAGGGTTGTACCTTCTGTGCTGGTCACTGTCGAGTTGGTAGTTTCGGCTGTCCCTGTTGTTGTCTCAGCTGTAGTTCCAGTAGTCTGTGAGACAGTTGTAACTTCGGTGCTTAACACTGTTGTGTCAGTAGTCTGAGATATAGTTGTACCTTCGGTGCTGGTCACTGGCGAGGTGGTAGTTCCGATTGTGTCTGTGGTTTTCTCAGCTGTAGTTCCAGTAGTCTGTGAGAAAGTTGTACCTTTGGTGCTTGACACTGTTGTGCCAATAGTCTGAGGGACAGTTCTACCTTCTGTACTGGTCACTGGCGAGATGGTAGTTGCAATTGTGCCTGTTGTTGTCTCATCTTTAGTGCCAGTAGTTTGAGAAACAGTTGTACTTTCGGTGCTAGACACTGTTGTTTCAGTAGTCTGAGAGACGGTTGCACCTTCGGCGCTGGTCACTGGTGAGGTGGTAGTTGCGATTGTGCCTGTTGTTGTCTCAGCTGTAGTTCCAATAGTTTGAGAAACAGTTGGACTTTTGGTGCTAGACACTGTTATTTCAGTAGTCTGAGAGACGGTTGTACCTTCGGTGCTGGTCACTGGTGAGGTGGTAGTTGCGATTGTGCCTGTTGTTGTCTCAGCTGTAGTTCCAATAGTCTGTGAGACAGTTGCACCTTCAGTACTTGATAAAGTGGTGCCAGTACTCTGAGTCACGGTTGTACCTTCTGTACTGGTCACTGGCGAGGTGGTAGTTGCAATTGTGCTTGTTGATGTCTCATCTGTTTTGCCAGTAGTCTGAGAGATGGTTGTAACTTCCGTGCTCGTCACTGGCGAGTTGCTAGTTGCGATTGTACCTGTTGTAGTCTCAGCTGTAGTTACAGTAGTCGGTAATACAGTTGTACCTTTGTTGCTTGATACAGTAGTGCCAGTAGTCTGAGACACTGTTGTACCTTCTGTGCTGGTCACTGGCGAGGTGGAAGTTGCGACTGTGCCTGTAGCTGTAGTGCCAGAAGTTTGAAAAACAGTTGTACCTTCGGTACTTGACACTGTTGTGCCAGGTGTTTGAGTGATGGTTGTACCTTCTATGCTGGTTTCCGGCGAAGTGGTTGTTGCGATTGTGCCTGTCGTTATCGCAGCTGTAGTTCCAGTAGTCTGTGAGACAGTTGTACCATCGGTACTTGATAAAGTTGTGCCAGTATTCTGCGAAGCGGTTGTATCTTCTGTGCTGGTCACTGGCGAGGTGGTAGTTGCAATGGTGCTTGTCGTAGTCTCAGCTGTAAATCCAATAGTCTGTGAGACAGGTGTACTTTCGGTGCTTGATACAGTGGTGCCAGTAGTCTGAGAGACGGTTGTACCTGCGTTGCTGGTTACTGGCGAGGTGGTAGTTGCGACTGTGCCTGTTGTTGTCTCAGCTGTAGTGCTAGAAGTTTGAGAAACAGTTGTACCTCCGGTGCTTGACACTATCGTGCCAGGAGTCTGAGTGACGGTTGTTCCCTCTGTGCTGGTTACCGGCGAAGTGGTTGTTGCGATTTTGCCTGTCGTTGTCTCAGCTGCAGTTTCAGAAGTCTGTGAGACAGTTGTTCCTTTGGTTCTTGATAAAGTGTTGCCAGTATTCTGCGATGCGGTTGTACCTTCTGTGCTGGTTATTGGCGAGATGGTAGTTGCGACTGTGCCTGTTATCTCAGCTGTAGTGCCAGAAGTTTGAGAAACAGTTGTACCTTCTGTGCTTGACACTGTTGTGCCAGTAGTCTGAGAGACGGTTGTACCTTCGGTGCTGGTCACTGGCGAGGTGTTAGTTGCAATGGTGCTTGCCGTATTCTCAGCTGGCAACACTAGTCCAGTAGTCTGTGAGATAGGTGTACCTTCGGTGCTTGATACAGTGGTGCCATTAGTCTGAGAGACGGTTTTAACTGCGGTGCTGGTAACTGGTGAGTTGGTAGTTGCGACTGTGCTGGTTGTTTTCTCAGCTGTAGTGCCAGAAGTTTGAGAAACAGTTGTATATCCGGTGCTTGACACTAATGTGCCAGGTGTCTGAGTGACGGTTGTTCCCTCTGTGCTTGTTACCGGCGAAGTGGTTGTTGCGATTGTGCCTGTCGTTGTCTCAGCTGCAGTTTCAGTAGTCTGTGAGACAGTTGTTCCTTTGGTACTTGATAAAGTGGTGCCAGTATTCTGCGAGGCGGTTGTACCTTCTGTTCTGGTCACTGGTAAGGTGGTAGTTGCGACTGTGCCTGTTGTCTCAACTGTAGTGCCAGAAGTTTGAGAAACAGTTGTACCTTCTGTGCTTGACACTGTTGTGCCTGTTGTCTGAGATACGGTTGTACCTTCGGTGCTGGTCACTGGCGAGGTGTTAGTTGCAATGGTGCTTGTCGTATTCTCAGTTGTAGTTCCAGTAGTCTGTGAGATAGGTGTACCTTCGGTGCTTGATACAGTTGTGCCAGTAGTCTGAGAGACTGTTGTACCTGCGGTGCTGGTAACTGGTGAGGTGGTAGTTGCGACTGCGACTGTCGTTTTGTCAGCTGTTGTGTCAGTAGTCTGTGAAACTGTTATACCTTCGGCTGTAGAACGAGAAAGGTCCAATTTTTTTTTTATATAAAAATATATGTGTATATATATATTCTTGTGTGGATACCAGATACACAGAATGATATTTATGTTTTGTATATATCGTGAATGTGTATATAGAATGATATTGATGTGTGCGTGTATATTGTATTTGAAATGTATAATATAAATAGATAAATAATTATTTGTAACATCTTTTGAATGGCAGACAATTCATTTAATAATCGATGTAACTTCACAAACTAATAGAGTTAACTTTAGAAAAATATGTGAACAAAAATCATCAATGATACCAGGCCAATAATTTAGTACGCAAGACAAGTGTTTCGGTTACATAAAACTCATAAATTTTACCAGAATCAAAAAGTTAGAAAACCAAGTTAATTACGATGTTAAAATTAAAGAGCACTGAACACCATAACTTCTAAAAAGAGTGTCCCAAATCTGGCTGAGGCTATGATTACTTGCGGTAGAATAACCTTTATGCTTTATTTTGGCTCATATTTTGGTCATCTTTGTACAGAAATATTTGTTTGACTGATTTAAAATCGTGATGTAATAAGAAAACGAAGAGAAAAAAGAAAATGCAAAGATTTCATGTATCAAATGTTTACGTTGACCATTGCATCGAAGAGAAAACCTATATATTTGCAAGAACACCAGGAGACTATTTTTGAATGACTTTGCCCTACTGTTGAGCTCTCTAACTGGGATGCACATGTATATTTAATATGAATAATATTGATGCCATACAAAAAGTACACAATTTTTACATAAAAGAACAACACCCTACCTGTTGTTGTTCCGTCAACTGTACTTATCTTCGTTGAACCTAAAAAACGCATGTTGTGTTTCTTAAAATAAACATTCTGTCGATACCTATATTTCAGCATTGCATTAGGTAATGAATTTCTCAGACTGTTTATGAAGTCTTCACACTTAATCTGTTGGAAGTGCACTGATCGATATTTTAATCTTGGAAAAAATGATTTATCAGTTGTTATTTGCTTTGAACTAGCTTTCGGTAATTGTGAGAACTCTTAGATCGGTACTTTGCGTCTTTTTGTTTTTTTGTTTTTTTTTGTTTTTTTTGTCTTTTTATTAGGTTTGTTTGTGCTGTATGCTGTGTCGATTTGATTATTCAAGCCCTTTCCAGCAGATTTTAACAGTGTTTTCTATGTTATGCTATTGCATCACAGTGCAAATTAATGAATTAGATTTTAACCTTACGCAATATGTGAATCATGCTATCGATTTGATATCATCATTTTGAACTACGAATCAGAAGTGTCACTATGTAAATGTATATTCTTTATAATGTATTGTTTCATCGTAAAAACCATTTACACTAATTATGTTTTGATGCGCAAAGATTACCCCGAACGGACAGTTTTTTCTCTCCATTGAAATCAGGGAAAGAACCCACGCAGTTTCCAAGTTAACAGCAGATGTACTAGTAAGAGTGTGAACTGCGAAGGCTCGTCTTATGATTTCATATCAAACATCTCTGTTCAAAAGATTTGCAATTTATTTTACAAAAATACCCTCGTTTATGAAATGCTGGACGCTCTTTCTTTTGCAAAACATATTTTAAAAATCTCCTCTGTTAAGCGCATTTTAGTATGTATGTGATAAGGTACAGTGAGGATTAACGAGAGATTTAATTCATCAATATTTGTACATTGACAATTTCGGGTTCGTGCAATATTACTATTCTGATATACCGAGAAATGTAAGTTCTCTAACATGTGCGAACATGTGTATTCAATGCAATTTATTTTTATGGTCCTCAAAAATCGACACAATGTTTATATTATAAAGAAAGACCCTACCTGTTGTTGTTCCGTCATATGTTGTCGTTGAACCTATAAAAAACAGGTTTGTGTGTTATTTTAAACAAACATGAATCAATATATAAGTGCGATTTCTAGAAAATACTTATACGGCAAATGATGTATAAAAATCACACTTTCAAAGTTTTTGGTCTTTGTAGATGAATTTAGACTTTAAACTGTTACATACTGACAGTCGCACGGAACATAAATGTATTTCATGCTTATATAAGAAATACCAACTTGTTCTTAATGATCAGAGAGTATTGAAATTCGAATTTTAAACTCACAGAAGAGAATAAACACATATGTATTGGATCAGGTTTTTTTCCCCAAAATGTTCGACGAATGAACTGTGAGAAGCAGTATATCATATGAACGTCTGCAGTGAATTCGCACTACGGAGCAACATTAAATATAATATAGCGGAATCAATATTAAGTTTAACTAGAGTTAAATTTGTGAAAGCCCGTTTGACAGTTTAAAAAATTCAAATATTAAATTTGAAAAAGATTTGTTCGACAGGATTTATGTGGAGTTAGCAAAACATGATTAGGTGTTAAAAGAAAAAAACTGCGGCTCTTTTCACAAAAACATTAAAGAGTAAAATTAGTCGTAAGTCATACACATTTCAGTATAACTTACGATCAATTTTAATCGTAAGATTTTTTGTGAAAAGAGTCGCAGGACTTCAAGAAATCATTTTGATAGATTTTTGCTATCGCACCATTAACGTCTCTGACAGACTAACTAATAAAAAACAAACATAAAAATCCATTAACTTAAACAGACCTCATGTACATATGGTTTGTTATTTGCTTTATATAAATTGCATTCCAGGAATAAAGAAAATTTGGTTTTACTTGCTAAAGTGTAGTCATACCATGCCCGTTGTATGTTGTTTGAACATAACATGTGACTAAAAGTCAATACCGAAAGATAAAATGACATAGACAGAAAAACAAAATTCCAAAGGTAAAAAAGTATGATCTGATCTTTCAAGAAGTCCGAAGTTGTGAATGCTCATTATATTTTTAATACATACAAATTGCTGCTGTTGATTCGGAAAACAGAGCCTCAAAAAATATTGATTAAAATTGATTGCCTGATCAAAGAACTTGGAACTCACAAAAAATCTCGACATCACTATTATACACTAACATTATTCACGGACGAGCAGATGTTTTAAAATAACAAATCCATCCTTCACTCCTTTTGTATTAACATCTAACATCCAACAGTTTGGAAAGTCAAAATAAAAAGAAAAATAAACAAAAAGAATAGAAAATTGGAAGCTTAAAATACAGAAGCTATAAATAGACCATCTAAACCGTCTGAGTTCAATTATGCCTGAGGTAGATGTAACCATTTAAGCCTTAACTCACCGATATATATAGCTTAACAAACTGGAGATTCACTGACAAAATATTAGTATTTCGAATCAGTTCAATACCGAAGCAGTATCAGTGTATTGTACAGATAGTTCAACAGCAACGGTACCGTCCCAGTGATATAGGAAACACGGTTCATAAGTGTTTCTCGTTTTTTATATAGATTAGACCGTTGGTTTTCCTGTTTGATTGTTTTTATTCTAGTCATTTTTTGGGCCCTTTATAGCTTGCTGTTCGGTATGAGCCAAGGCTCCGTGTTGAAGGACCTATAATGGTTTACTTTTACATATTGTGACTTGGATGGAGAGTTGTCTCATTGGCATTCATACCACATCTTCTTATATCTATATACAGTATTCAATGATTATCGTGCACACAACACGTGCCTCTGGAATAACATTCATCATGTACACTTGAGACAAAAAGATAAGAACCGCTGGACAACTTCAAAATCAAAAGGAACTAATGAGAACAGCCAGAACTATTTCAGATAAACTATGCCTGAAGGAGTACACCTTTAACAGAATTACTCAATTTAACGAATCTACGATATTATTCATTAAATGAATCATTACAATACTTCAGTCTAAAATATAAAAATAGATATCTACGCCTGATAAATTTCAATTATGTTTTAGCATTTAAACAAATATACGTATCCATATTTATATATCATTTAGTCTGACAGACGGCTGTACCTTTGGTGCTGGTCATTTGCGAGGTGGAAGTTGCGATTGTGTCTGTTGTTGTCTCACCTGAAGTGCCAGTAGTCTGAGAAACAGTTGAACCATCGGTGCTTGACACTGTTGTGCCAGAGGTCTGAGAGACAACAGTTCCTTCGGTGATGGTCACTGGCGAGGTGTTAGTTCTGATTGTGCCTGTTGTTGGATCAGCTGTAGTGCCATTAGTCTGTGAGATCGTTGTACCTTCGGTGTTTAATACTGTAGTGCCAGTAGTCTGAGACACGGTTGTACCTTCATTGCTGGTCACTGGCGAGGTGGTAGTTGCGACTGTACTTGTTGATATCTCAGCTGTAGCTCTAGTATTTTGAGAGATGGTTGTACCTTCGGTGATAGTCATTGATGAGGTTGTGGTACCTGTGACAGAAGTTGTGTCAGCGATAGTGCCGGTTGTCTGCGAGACAGTTGTGCCTACGCTGCTAGTTACTGGTGAATTTGTGGTGGCAGTGACATTTGTTTTTTCAGAGACAGTGCCTATTGACTCAGAGGTAGAGCCTATTGACTCAGAGACCGTTTTCCATTTGGTGATAGTCACTGGTGAAGTTGTGGCGGCAGTGACAGTCGTTGTTTGAGCGGTAATGCCGGTAGTTTGAGAGACGGTTGTACCTTCTGTGCTTGTAACTGGTGAGGTTGTGGCAGCTGGTAAAGATGTTGTGTCAGCGATAGTGCCGGTTGTCTGTGAGACAGTTGTGCCTACATTGCTAGTCACTGGTGAAGTTGTGGCGGCAGTGACAGTCGTTGTTTCAGTTGTAGTGCTGTCAGTTTGAGAGACGGTTGTACCTTCGGTGCTAGTCACTGGTGTGGTAATGGCGGCAGTGACAGATGCTGTTTCAGAGGTAATGCCTGCTGACTCAGAGACAGTTGTGGTGTCCGTGACAGTTATTGTCTCAGTTGTTGTGCCGGTTGCTTGAGAGACGATTGTACCATCGGTGGTAGTTACGGGTGAAGTTGTCGCGACAATGACTGTCGTTGTTTCAGCGGTAGTACCGGCAGTTTGCGAAACGGTTGTACCTTCGGTGCTAGTCACTAGTGAAATTATGGCGGCAGTGGCAGTCGTTGTTTCAGAGGTATTGCCTGTTGACTCAGAGACAGTTGTGGCGTCCGTGACAGTTGTTGTCTCAGTTGTTGTGCCGGTAGTTAGAGTGACGGTTGTACCTTCGGTGCTAGTCACTGGTGAAGTGGTGGCATCAGTGACAGTCATTGATTCAGCGGTAGTGCCGGAAGTTTGAGAGACGGTTATACCTTTGGTGCTAGCTACTGGTGAGGTGATGGTGGCAGTGACAGTTGTTGTTTCAGAGGTAGAGCCGGTTGTCTCAGAGACAGTTGTACCGTTAGTACTAGTCACTGGCGAAGTTTTTTCGGCAGTGACAGTCGTTGTTTCAGCTGTAGTGCCGGTAGTTTGAGAGGCAGTTGTACCTTCGGTGCTAGTCACTGGTGAAAAGGTTGCATCAGTGACAGTCGTTGTTTCAGTGGTAGTGCCGGTAGTTTGAGAGACGTTTGTAACTTCGGTGCTAGCCACTGGCAAAGTGGTGGTGGCAGTGACGGTCGTTGTTTCAGAAGTAGAGCCGGTTGTCTCAGAGACAGTTGTACCGTTAGTGCTAGATACTGGCGAAGTTTTTGCGGCAGTGACAGTCGTTGTTTCAGCAGTAGTGCCAGTTGTCTTAGGGACAGTTGTACCATTGGTGCTAGTCATTGGCGAAGTTGTTTCATCCGTGACTGTTGTTGTCTCAGTTGTATTGTCGGCTGTTTGAGAGACGGTTGTACCATCGGTGGTAGTCACTGGTGAAGTTGAGGCGACAGTGACAGTCGTGTCAGCGGTAGTGCCGTTAGTTTGAGAGACGGTTATACCTTCGGTGCTAGTCACTGGCGAAGTTGTTGCGGCAGTGACAGTCGTTGTTTCAGCAGTAGTGTCAGTTGTCTTTGAGACAGTTGTACCTTTGGTGATAGTCACTGGCGAAGTTTTTTCATCCGTGACCGTTGTTGTCTCAGATGTTGTGCCGGCTGTTTGAGAGACGGTTGAACCATCAGTGGTAGTCACTGGCGAAATTGTTGCGACAGTGACAGTCGTTGTTTCGGCTGTAGTGCCGGTAGTTTGAGAAACGGTTGTACCTTCGGTGCTAGTCACTAGTGAAGTTATGGCGGCAGAGGCAGTCGTTGTTTTAGAGGTATTGCCTGTTGACTCAGAGACAGTTGTGGCGTCCGTGACAGTTGTTGTCTCAGTTGTTGTGCCGGTAGTTAGAGTGACGGTTGTACCTTCGGTGCTGGTCACTGGTGAAGTGGTGGCATCAGTGACAGTCATTGGTTCAGCGGTAGTGCCGGAAGTTTGAGAGACGTTTGTACCTTCGGTGCTAGCTACTGGTGAGGTGGTGGTGGCAGTGACAGTCGTTGTTTCAGAGGTAGAGTCGGTTGTCTCAGAGACAGTTGTAACGTTAGTGCTAGTCACTGGCGAAGTTTTTGCGGCAGTGACAGTCGTTTCAGAGGTATAGCCTGTTGACTCAGAGACAGTTGTGGCGTCTGTGTAAGTTGTTGTCTCAGTTGTTGTGCCGGTAGTTAGAGAGACGGTTGTACCTTCGGTGCTAGTCACTGGTAAAGTGGTGGTATCAGTGACAGTCATTGGTTCAGCGGTAGTGCCGGAAATTTGAGAGACGGTTGTACGATCGGTGGCAGTAACTGGTGAAGTTGTTCCGACAGTGACAGTCGTTGTTTCGGTGGTAGTGACGTTAGTTTGAGAGACAGTTGTACCTTCGGTGCTAGTCACTAGTGAAGTGGTTGCATCAGTGGCGGTCGTTGTTTCAGTGTTAGTACCGGTAGTTTGAGAGATGTTTGTACCTTCAGTGCTAGCTTCTGGTGAAGTGGTGGTGGCAGTGACAGTCGTTGTTTCAGAGGTAGAGCCGGTTGTCTCAGAGACAGTTGTACCGTTAGTGCTAGACACTGGCGAAGTTTCTGCAGCAGTGACAGTCGTTGTTTCGGCTGTAGTGCCGATAGTTTGAGAGGCAGTTGTACCTTCGGTACTAGTCACTGGTGAAAAGGTTGCATCAGTGACAGTCGTTGTATCAGTGGTAGTGGCGGTAGTTTGAGAGACGTTTGTAACTTCGGTGCTAGCCAATGGCGAAGTGGTGGTGGCAGTGACAGTCGTTGTTTCAGAAGTAGAGCCGGTTGTCTCAGAGACAGTTGTACCGTTAGTGCTAGTCACTGGCGAAGTTTTTGCGGCAGTGACAGTCGTTGTTTCAGCAGTAGTGCCAGTTGTCTTAGAGACAGTTGTACCATTGGTGCTAGTCATTGGCGAAGTTGTTTCATCCGTGACTGTTGTTGTCTCAGTTGTATTGTCGGCTGTTTGAGAGACGGTTGTACCATCGGTGGTAGTCACTGGTGAAGTTGAGGCGACAGTGACAGTCGTGTCAGCGGTAGTGCCGTTAGTTTGAGAGACGGTTATACCCCCGGTGCTAGTCACTGGCGAAGTTGTTGCGGCAGTGACAGTCGTTGTTTCAGCAGTAGTGCCAGTTGTCTTAGAGACAGTTGTACCATTGGTGCTAGTCATTGGCGAAGTTGTTTCATCCGTGACTGTTGTTGTCTCAGTTGTATTGTCGGCTGTTTGAGAGACGGTTGTACCATCGGTGGTAGTCACTGGTGAAGTTGAGGCGACAGTGACAGTCGTGTCAGCGGTAGTGCCGTTAGTTTGAGAGACGGTTATACCCCCGGTGCTAGTCACTGGCGAAGTTGTTGCGGCAGTGACAGTCGTTGTTTCAGCAGTAGTGTCAGTTGTCTTTGAGACAGTTGTACCTTTGGTGATAGTCACTGGCGAAGTTTTTTCATCCGTGACCGTTGTTGTCTCAGTTGTTGTGCCGGCTGTTTGAGAGACGGTTGAACCATCGGTGGTAGTCACTGGCGAAATTGTTGCGACAGTGACAGTCGTTGTTTCGGCTGTAGTGCCGATAGTTTGAGAGACGTTTGTAACTTCGGTGCTAGCCACTGGCGAAGTGGTGGTGGCAGTGACAGTCGTTGTTTCAGAAGTAGAGCCGGTTGTCTCAGAGACAAGTGTACCTTTGGTGCTAGTCACTAGCGAAGTTTTTGCCGCAGTTACAGTCGTTGTTTCAGCAGTGGCGCCAGTTGTCTTAGAGACAGTTGTACCATTGGTGCTAGTCATTGGCGAAGTTGTTTCATCCATGACTGTTGTTTTCTCAGTTGTTGTGTCGGCTGTTTGAGAGACGGTTGTACCATCGGTGGTAGTCACTGGTGAAGTCGAAGCGAGAATGACAGTCGTGTCAGCGGTAGTGCCGTTAGTTTGAGAGACGGTTATACCTTCGGTGCTAGTCACTGGCGAAGTTGTTGCGGCAGTGACAGTCGTTGTTTCAGCAGTAGTGCCAGTTGTCTTTGAGACAGTTGTACCTTTGGTGATAGTCACTGGCGAAGTTTTTTCATCCGTGACTGTTGTTGTCTCAGTTGTTGTGCCGGCTGTTTGAGAAACGGTTGAACCATCGTTGGAAATCACTGGCGAAGTTGTTGCGACAGTGACAGTCGTTGTTTCGGCTGTAGTGCCAGTTGTCTTTGAGACAGTTGTACCTTTGGTGATAGTCATTGGCGAAGTTGTTTCATCCGTGACCGTTGTTGTCTCAGTTGTTGTGCCGGCTGTTTGAGAGACGGTTGTACCATCGGTGGTAGTCACTGGTGAAGTTGAAGCGACAGTGATAGTCGTGTCAGAGGTAGTGCCGTTAGTTTGAGAGACGGTTGTACCATCGATGTTAGTCACTGGCGAAGTTTTGGCGACAGTGACAGTCGTTGTTTCGGCGGTAGTGCCGGAAGTTTGAGAGGCAGTTGTACCTTCGGTGCTAGTCACTGGTGAAGTGGTTGCATCAGTGACAGTCGTTGTTTCAGTGGTAGCGCCGGTAGTTTGAGAGACGTTTGTAACTTCGGTTCTAGCCACTGGCGAAGTGGTGGTGGCAGTGACAGTCGTTGTTTCAGAGGTAGAGTCGGTTGTCTCAGAGACAGTTGTAACGTTAGTGCTAGTCACTGGCGAAGTTTTTGCGGCAGTGACAGTCGTTTCAGAGGTATAGCCTGTTGACTCAGAGACAGTTGTGGCGTCTGTGTAAGTTGTTGTCTCAGTTGTTGTGCCGGTAGTTAGAGAGACGGTTGTACCTTCGGTGCTAGTCACTGGTAAAGTGGTGGTATCAGTGACAGTCATTGGTTCAGCGGTAGTGCCGGAAATTTGAGAGACGGTTGTACGATCGGTGGCAGTAACTGGTGAAGTTGTTCCGACAGTGACAGTCGTTGTTTCGGTGGTAGTGACGTTAGTTTGAGAGACAGTTGTACCTTCGGTGCTAGTCACTAGTGAAGTGGTTGCATCAGTGGCAGTCGTTGTTTCAGTGTTAGTGCCGGTAGTTTGAGAGACGTTTGTACCTTCAGTGCTAGCTTCTGGTGAAGTGGTGGTGGCAGTGACAGTCGTTGTTTCAGAGGTAGAGCCGGTTGTCTCAGAGACAGTTGTACCGTTAGTGCTAGACACTGGCGAAGTTTTTGCGGCAGTGACAGTCGTTGTTTCGGCTGTAGTGCCGGTAGTTTGAGAGGCAGTTGTACCTTCGGTGCTAGTCACTGGTGAAAAGGTTGCATCAGTGACAGTCGTTGTTTCAGTGGTAGTGGCGGTAGTTTGAGAGACGTTTGTAACTTCGGTGCTAGCCAATGGCGAAGTGGTGGTGGCAGTGACAGTCGTTGTTTCAGAAGTAGAGCCGGTTGTCTCAGAGACAGTTGTACCGTTAGTGCTAGTCACTGGCGAAGTTTTTGCGGCAGTGACAGTCGTTGTTTCAGCAGTAGTGCCAGTTGTCTTAGAGACAGTTGTACCATTGGTGCTAGTCATTGGCGAAGTTGTTTCATCCGTGACTGTTGTTGTCTCAGTTGTATTGTCGGCTGTTTGAGAGACGGTTGTACCATCGGTGGTAGTCACTGGTGAAGTTGAGGCGACAGTGACAGTCGTGTCAGCGGTAGTGCCGTTAGTTTGAGAGACGGTTATACCCCCGGTGCTAGTCACTGGCGAAGTTGTTGCGGCAGTGACAGTCGTTGTTTCAGCAATAGTGCCAGTTGTCTTAGAGACAGTTGTACCATTGGTGCTAGTCATTGGCGAAGTTGTTTCATCCGTGACTGTTGTTGTCTCAGTTGTATTGTCGGCTGTTTGAGAGACGGTTGTACCATCGGTGGTAGTCACTGGTGAAGTTGAGGCGACAGTGACAGTCGTGTCAGCGGTAGTGCCGTTAGTTTGAGAGACGGTTATACCCCCGGTGCTAGTCACTGGCGAAGTTGTTGCGGCAGTGACAGTCGTTGTTTCAGCAGTAGTGTCAGTTGTCTTTGAGACAGTTGTACCTTTGGTGATAGTCACTGGCGACGTTTTTTCATCCGTGACCGTTGTTGTCTCAGTTGTTGTGCCGGCTGTTTGAGAGACGGTTGAACCATCGGTGGTAGTCACTGGCGAAATTGTTGCGACAGTGACAGTCGTTGTTTCGGCTGTAGTGCCGATAGTTTGAGAGACGTTTGTAACTTCGGTGCTAGCCACTGGCGAAGTGGTGGTGGCAGTGACAGTCGTTGTTTCAGAAGTAGAGCCGGTTGTCTCAGAGACAAGTGTACCTTTGGTGCTAGTCACTAGCGAAGTTTTTGCCGCAGTTACAGTCGTTGTTTCAGCAGTGGCGCCAGTTGTCTTAGAGACAGTTGTACCATTGGTGCTAGTCATTGGCGAAGTTGTTTCATCCATGACTGTTGTTGTCTCAGTTGTTGTGTCGGCTGTTTGAGAGACGGTTGTACCATCGGTGGTAGTCACTGGTGAAGTCGAAGCGAGAATGACAGTCGTGTCAGCGGTAGTGCCGTTAGTTTGAGAGACGGTTATACCTTCGGTGCTAGTCACTGGCGAAGTTGTTGCGGCAGTGACAGTCGTTGTTTCAGCAGTAGTGCCAGTTGTCTTTGAGACAGTTGTACCTTTGGTGATAGTCACTGGCGAAGTTTTTTCATCCGTGACTGTTGTTGTCTCAGTTGTTGTGCCGGCTGTTTGAGAAACGGTTGAACCATCGTTGGAAATCACTGGCGAAGTTGTTGCGACAGTGACAGTCGTTGTTTCGGCTGTAGTGCCAGTTGTCTTTGAGACAGTTGTACCTTTGGTGATAGTCATTGGCGAAGTTGTTTCATCCGTGACCGTTGTTGTCTCAGTTGTTGTGCCGGCTGTTTGAGAGACGGTTGTTCCATCGGTGGTAGTCACTGGTGAAGTTGAAGCGACAGTGATAGTCGTGTCAGAGGTAGTGCCGTTAGTTTGAGAGACGGTTGTACCATCGATGTTAGTCACTGGCGAAGTTTTGGCGACAGTGACAGTCGTTGTTTCGGCGGTAGTGCCGGAAGTTTGAGAGGCAGTTGTACCTTCGGTGCTAGTCACTGGTGAAGTGGTTGCATCAGTGACAGTCGTTGTTTCAGTGGTAGCGCCGGTAGTTTGAGAGACGTTTGTAACTTCGGTTCTAGCCACTGGCGAAGTGGTGGTGGCAGTGACAGTCGTTGTTTCAGAAGTAGAGCCGGTTGTCTCAGAGACAGTTGTACCTTTGGTGCTAGTCACTGGCGAAGTTTTTGCGGCAGTGACAGTCGTTGTTTCAGCAGTAGTGCCAGTTGTCTTAGAGACAGTTGTACCATTGGTGCTAGTCATTGGCGAAGTTGTTTCATCCGTTACTGTTGTTGTCTCAGTTGTTGTGTCGGCTGTTTGAGAGACGGTTGTACCATCGGTGGTAGTCACTAGTGATGTTGAAACGACAATGATAGTCGTGTCAGTGGTAGTGCCGTTAGTTTGAGAGACGGTTATACCTTCGGTGCTAGTCACTGGCGAAGTTGTTGCGGCAGTGACAGTCGTTGTTTCAGAAGTAGAGCCGGTTGTCTCAGAGACAGTTGTACCTTTGGTGCTAGTCACTGGCGAAGTTTTTGCGGCAGTGACAGTCGTTGTTTCAGCAGTAGTGCCAGTTGTCTTAGAGACAGTTGTACCATTGGTGCTAGTCATTGGCGAAGTTGTTTCATCCGTCACTGTTGTTGTCTCAGTTGTTGTGTCGGCTGTTTGAGAGACGGTTGTACCATCGGTAGTAGTCACTGGTGAAATTGAAGCGACAGTGATAGTCTTGTCAGAGGTAGTGCTGTTAGTTTGAGAGACGGTTGTACTATCGATGCTAGTCACTGGTGAAGTTGTGGCGACATTGACAGTCGTTGTTTCGGCGGTAGTGCCGGAAGTTTGAGAGGCAGTTGTACCTTCGGTGCTAGTCACTGGTGAAGTGGTTGCATCAGTGACAGTCGTTGTTTCAGTGGTAGTGCCGGTAGTTTGAGAGACGTTTGTAACTTCGGTGCTAGCCACTGGCGAAGTGGTGGTGGCAGTGACAGTCGATGTTTCAGAAGTAGAACCGGTTGTCTCAGAGACAGTTGTACCTTTGGTGCTAGTCACTGGCGAAGTTGTTGCGGCAGTGACAGTCGTTGTTTCAGCAGTAGTGCCAGTTGTCTTTGAGACAGTTGTACCTTTGGTGATAGTCATTGGCGAAGTTGTTTCATCCGTGACTGTTGTTGTCTCAGTTGTTGTGCCGGCTGTTTGAGAGACGGTTGTACCATCGGTGGAAGTCACTGGTGAAGTTGATGCGACAGTGATAGTCGTGTCAGAGGTAGTGCTGTTAGTTTGAGAGACGGTTGTACTATCGATGCTAGTCACTGGTGAAGTTGTGGCGACAGTAACAGTCGTTGTTTCGGCGGTAGTGCCGGTAGTTTGAGAGATAGTTGTACCTTCGGTGCTAGTCACTGGTGAAGTGGTTGCATCAGTGACAGTCGTTGTTTCAGTGGTAATGCCGGTAGTTTGAGAGACGTTTGTACCTTTGGTGGTAGCCACTGGCGAAGTGGTGGTGGCAGTGACAGTCGTTGTTTCAGAAGTAGAGCCGGTTGTCTCAGAGACAGTTGTACCTTTGGTGCTAGTCACTGGCGAAGTTGTTGCGGCAGTGACAGTCGTTGTTTCAGCAGTAGTGCCAGTTGTCTTTGAGACAGTTGTACCTTTGGTGATAGTCATTGGCGAAATTGTTTCATCCTTCACTGTTGTTGTCTCAGTTGTTGTGCCGGCTGTTTGAGAGACGGTTGTACCATCGATGGTAGTCACTGGTGAAGTTGAAGCGACAGTGATAGTCGTGTCAGAGGTAGTGCCGTTAGTTTGAGAGACGGTTGTACCATCGATGCTAGTCACTGGAGAAATTGTGGCGACAGTGACAGTCGTTGTTTCCACAATAGTGTCGGTAGTTTGAGAGACAGTTGTACCGTCGGTGCTAGTCACTGGTGAAGTGGTTGCATCAGTGACAGTCGTTGTTTCAGTGGTAGTGCCGGTAGTTTGAGAGACGTTTGTACCTTCGGTGCTAGCCACTGGCGAAGTGGTGGTTGCAGTGATAGTCGTTGTCTCAGAGGTAGAGCCGGTTGTCTCAGAGACAGTTGTACCTTTGGTGCTAGTCACTGGCGAAGTTGTTGCAGCAGTGACAGTTGTTGTTTCAGCAGTAGTGCCAGTTGTCTTAGAGAAAGTTGTACCTGTGGTGCTAGTCTCTGGCGACGTTGTGGTGACAATGACAGTCGTTGTTTCGGCGGTAGTTCCGGTAGTTTGAGAGACAGTTCTACCTTCGATGCTTGTCACTGGTGGAGTGATGTTGTTAGTGACAGTTTTTGTGTCAGTTGTTGTGCCGCTTGTTTGAGAGACGGTTGTATCATTGGTGGTAGTCACGGGTGACGTTTTGGCGACAGTGGCAGTCGTTCTTTCAATGGTAGTGCTGGTAGTTTTAGAGACGGTTGTACCTTCGGTGCTAGTCACTGGTGATGTTGTGGCATCAGTGATAGTCGTTGTGTCAGCGGTAGTTTGAGAGATGGTTGGACCTGCGGTGATTGTCATTGGTGAATTGGTGGCGGCAGTGACAGTCGTTGTGTCAGCGGTAGTGTCGGTTGTTTGAGAGACAGTTGTGCCTTCGCTGCTACTCCCTTGTGAAGTTGTGCTGGCAGTAACATTTTTTGTATTAGAGGTAGAGGCGGTTGTCTCAGAGACAGTTGTACCTTTGGTGCTAGTCTCTGGCGAAGTTGTGGCGACAATGACAGTCTTTGTTTTAGCGGTAGTGTCGGTAGTTTGAGAGACGGTTATACCTTCGGTGCTAGTCACTGGTGAAGTGGTGGCGGCAGTGACAAATGATGTTTCAGCGGTAGTGTCGGTTGTACCTTCGTTATTAGTCATAGGCGAGGTTGTGGCAGCTGTGACAGATGTTGTGTCAGGGGTAGTTCCGGTTGTCTGCGGGATAGTTGAACCCACGCTGCTAGTGACCTGAGATGTCGTGGGGGTAGTGACAATTGATGTTTTAGTGTTAATGCCTGTCCACTCAGAGACAGTTGTATCTGTGATGCTAGTCACTGGCGATGTTGTGGCGTCATTGACAGTTGTCGTTTCAGCTGGAGTGCCTGTATTTTGAGAGACGTTTCTACCTTCGGTGCTTGTCTCTGTCGAAGTTGTTGCGATGGTGACAGTTGTTGTCTCAGCTATATTTATAATTAAATGTGACATTGATTAAATGATCATTTCTGAATATTGATTACCACTACTGAAGCTGAATGTTTTAAGTTTAGAAAAGTATATGGAAAAAAGTCAAGCCGAGTCAAAGATACCTCTATGTTCAAGACTCCAGAGTCGCGCCTACATAAGACTTATCAGTGGTGTTCAGGCTTGGGGTAATGTAAATGTACTCATTAATCAGCCGTAATCCGTTACAATTTTTCAACTAATCATAGTAATCATTAATCAGCCAAAAATCTGATGACATGTTATTTAATCTAATCAATTATTCTACAAAATACCTTGTAATCCTGATACGTTCTAATTTAAATGAAAAACAAATCTCAAATTGTGTTCGTGTCTTAAAAGAACATTTTTATTCTTTATATGTAATAAATATATAACTTGTTAAAACAGTTTTGTTCACTTTAAGCATGTTAAGATATTATGAAATATGGATATACATGTAGTTTGATACCAACAAAATGTTATTTAATATTGTTTTAACCTTCATTCATTAACATCATTAAAATGGGTTATTTTGATATTTTTTGTAATCAAATGTAATCAGAATTACTTGCCAATGTAATCATCAATTTGATAAGTTACTTTGAGAAATGGTGTAATCTTTAATTTAATATAATCGTACATTTGACAAAGTAATTATAATGTAATCATAACATTGAAAGTAATCAGACCCATCTCTGGTGGCGTTCGTATTAAAACTGGTTTTTTTTCAAACATTATGTGTACAAGTTTTTTTGGCATGAGTCATTAGACGATACAATGCAGAGATTATTAATTGACTTTCAAATATTCGGCTTTGAGCGTTCCTGATGAAGGTAAATCCAGAAAAGCGCTTCGGACGCATCAAATTTATTACGTGTTGTTTTCATTTTTTTAATATAATGGTATTGAAATTCAAGATTATTGCCGTTTTTTTTAGTTTAAATCAAGTTTCCTCTGATTTTTACACGAAGCTATTACCCTGTAAAATTAAGTTTACATCAAATGTAGCCTTCCGCAAAATTGATATCATGCAATAAAGTTTAGATCATCATTTCGGAGTACAAGGAGTACTGTAAATCCTTGTTGTATTCTTTTCAATTGGCTGCAGTTAAGTTGTTTATTCATTTCACGTGTTGCCTTCTTATTCATTCGTTTGATTGGGATACTCGACAAAACGATAATTATATTTTAATTAAAGGACCCAGACTCTAAAAGACATCAATTGCATGCTTCATTATTGTTTTAACTGGTTTTGAACTGTTAAATGCACTCTGAAAATAAAGGTTTGCCTAAACAATGCCCTGTCCAAAATTAAGAAGTTTTAAAAGGAAGTATTTTTAGCTGTGTTCCTTGTTAAAATTCCATCCATTGTGTCTTTTATTGATCGTGAAATTACATCAAAAGGTGGCCAAAAACTGTCAAAGCAATATGGGCGGTTGAAATCCGAAAACCAACATAAGCCAATGGACTTTATACTGTAAACATGAATATATTTTTGTGATGCGTAAAATGCCGAAAGTATACCCCCTGCTCGAATACTTTGTAAACAAAAACAATACTGATATGAGGAACGAAATTATGGCTATTTAAGAATAGCTTTAGTTGCTTGTTCCTGAATCTGAATTGTCATTATGTAATTATATATTTTTAACGATGTGTTGTTTTCATTTCATCATATATAAATTGTTTTCATTAATCATATTTCGATGCACAAGGTTTATCCCGCGCGAAAGTGTATGCCTTGAAATCGTGGAAATAACATATTTCTTGCATGAAGATATATTACTCGTATCACACTGCACGGAGTGTGATACGAAAAATGCATTAATTTGATTGGCTTATCCAGCATCATTAGACTATATTACGACATTCCCATTTGCTATTCGTTTGGTCATTTAATGCTTTTCAAAGATTAAGACGATAAAATGTCGTCCATGACAACGGACATATGTAAATTCTTTATTAACATACAAACCAATCACACTTTTCATCTGAAAATCTTCTTTTTTTTGTTAACTTTTATTACATTTTGAAGCGTACAAAAAGTTTAAAATGTCTGATGTTTAATTTTGACGCCGGAACAGGATATATGACGTCATACTGGTATACGAAAAGACTTCCCAAAGATTTGCGGAATTTTTTATTGAACACATGAGAGTGTTGACCATACGAGCAATATGTTTAAAAACCCGTGAGAATTGAATATGGTTTGATATCAACTCTCGTAATTTGATTTAAATAGACTAATAATTCATTATTAAATTGAAATAGAATAACTCGGGTTGATATCAAGCTATATCCAATTCTCACTCAGTTTGAAACCTATACTTATACAATGGACCTTTTCATTTTCGAGCGATATTGCACTTCTGTTATATCGGGAAATGTAAACTTTCTAACATGTGCGTGCATGCATGCTCATATGTACATTCCATGCGAATTCTTTTGATGCTATTACAAAATCGACACAGAAAAGACCTTACCTGTTGTTCCGTCAGCTATCGTCGTTGAACCTATAAAAAAAGTTTTTTGCGTTAGTTTAAACAAGCATGAATCCATATTCAAGTGCGAATTTGTAAAAAATACGTATACGGCAAATGGTGTATAAGAAAAACCCTTCCAACGGGTTCCTGTCCGGAATCACATTTTGACAATAAGTCTCGGAAGAAACAATAATTATTTTTTTGTTACTTTTTGCGGGTAATCGTAGCCAGTGCCCTCAAAGTTCTCTTTCTTTGTATTATTAGTTCAATTTAATCTTTCAACTGTTACACATTTGCATGAAAAATAGATTACATATCACTATCTTAAAGATAAACTTTATAAAAGATACGGAGAGCATTGCAATTAGGATTTTAAACTCACAGGAGAACAAACAGACACGTATATCGGATCAGTTTTTTTTTCAAATTGTTCACCGGAAATATTACGTTTGTAAACATTTCACAAATTATATTAGTTTATCAACTTTCAACTAACAAGTTCAGTCTTTAGTTTTCTGTGTTGTGTTTTGTGTACTGTTGTTTGTCTTTTCGTCGTTTTTCATTTTTTGCAATGACATTGGGTTGAGTGTGTATCTTTGAGACACATTTTATGGATAAGAGATATTTTTTGGATAATTATCTGTGTTATTTTGAAAACTTTCTTTCTTCTTGGAATTGAACTGTCTAGCACCATGAACTGTGAGATGCAGTATATCATATAAACGTCTGCAAAGACGTCTCACTACGTGTACTTAGCGACATTTAAAATTGTTAATGCACGTTTTAGAGTAAAACAACAAATAAGATAAAAACGAGATTATTGCAGAGCTAGCAAAACATGATAAGTGTCAAAGGAAAACCAAATGAACTCTTTTTGATAGATTTGTACTAACGCCCCCTAACCGTTTCAAATAAGGAGGCCTTGTGAGTTAACACACCTTAATGTCTTAAATAACGGACAAAATAGCACAAGGTAAACATAAAAATCCATTAACTTAAATAGATCTCGTGCTCCTAAAAATACGTAAATACGGTTTGTTATTTGCTTTATATAAATTACATTCTAGGAATAAAGGAAATGTAATTTTACCTGCCAGAGTGTGATTATACCATTTCACTTTTTACATGGCTTAAACATATCATCTGACTAACGTCAATACTAAAAGATGAAATAGCATAGACAGAAAAAAAAACAATCTTTGAAGAAGCCCGATGTAGCAAACGCTTATTACAATATTGATTTAAATGCAAAAAAACATTATTTAGATTGCCTAACAAAGAACTTGGAATTCACAGCCAATTTGGACATCCCACTTTTACAATAACATCATTCACGAACGAGAAGATGTTTCAAATTACAAATCCGTCTTTCACGCCTTTGGTCTTAATATCTAACATCCAAAATAGAAAAAGAAAAAGCAGGGAACATTGGAAAGTTTAAAAATCAAAAGCTTTAAACAGAACAACCAAACCAAGCAAAAAAGAAAAACAAACGAAAAGAAAGTGAAAATTGGAGAATGTAAAAATCAAAAGCTGTAAATAGATGCCTGAGGTAGTTAGCACACCGACATAGTTTAACAAACATGAGATTCACTGACAATATACTAATATCTCTCTTTGAAGTATCCAAAACCGAAACAGTATCTTTTAAGTGTATTGTATAGATAGTCCAACAGCAACGGTACCGACCCAGTGATATAGTTAACACAGCATGCGATGATTATTGTTCACACAAGTGACTCTGGAATAATCTTCATCATGTACGCTTGAGACAAAAAGTTTAGAGCTGCAAAAAGTATAAACCACTGGACAGCATCCAAATCAAAAGGGACTAATGAAAACAACCATTTAAAATCAACGTTGACTGAGGGAAATGACCTTTAACCTTTATCAGAATAACTCAACCAACGACAATATATAGTATTTGAGTCATTGCAATACTTAAGTCTAACATATAAAATAGCGAACAACCAAGCTTGACAAATTTCAATTCTGTTTTGGCAATTAAACAATTATAAGTATCCATATTTATCTATCATTTAGTACGACAGACAGTTGTACCTTTGGTGCTGGAAGATGCGACGGTTGCGATAAACGTTGTCTCATCCGTGGTACCGTTTGTTGGAATGACAGTTTTACCTGTGGTGCTGGTCACCGGTAAAGTTGTGGTGGATGTGACAGTTGTTTTGTCAGCAGTAGTACCAGTTGAACCTTCTGTTCTGGTCATTGGCGAGGTGATAGTTGCAACTGTTGTTGTCTCAGATGGCGTGCCAGTAGTATGAGAAACAGTTGTACCTTCAGTGCTTGACACGGTTGTGCCAGTAGGCTGAGACACGGTTGAACCTTCGGTGCTGGTCACTAGCGAGGAAGTAGTTGCGATTGTGCCGGTGGTTGTCTCAGCTGTTGTTCCAGTAGTCTGTGAGATAGTTGTACCTTCGGTGCTTGATACTGTTGTGCCAGTAGTTTGCGAGACCGTTGTACCTTCGGTGCTGGTCACTGACGAGGAAGTAGTTGCAACTGTGCCAGTCGTTGTCTCAACTGTAGTGCCAGTAGTCTGTGAGACAGTTGTACCTTCGGAGCTTGATACTATTGTACCAGTAGTTTGAGACACAGTTGTACCTTCGCTGCTGGTCACTGGGAAGGTTATAGTTGCAACTGTGCCAGTTGTTGTCTCAGCTGTAATGTCAGTAGTCTGTGAAACAGTTGTACCTGCGGTGCTGGCTACTGGCGAAATTGTTATTTCGACTATGCCTGTTGTTGTCTCTGCTGTAGAGCCAGTAGTTTGAGACACAGTTGTATCATCGGTGCTAGATCCTGTTGTGCCGGTCGTTTGAGAGACAGTTGTACCTTCCGTGCTGGGCACTGGTGAGGTGGTAGTTGCAACTGTGCCTGTTGTTGTCTCAGTTATAGTGCCAGTAGTCTGTGAGACAGATGTACCTTCGGTGTTTGAAATTGTTGTGCCAGTAGTCTGTGAAACAGTTGTACCTTCGGTGCTTGATACTATTGTACCAGCAGTCTCAGACACGATTGTACCTTCGGTGCTGGTCACAGGCGAGACAGTTGTTGCTGCCGTGCCTGTTGTTGTCTGAGCTATATTTCCAGTAGTCTGTGAGACAGTTGTACCTTCGGTGCTTGTAACTGTTTTGCCAGTAGTCTGAGACACGGTTGTACCTGCAGTGCTGGCTACTGGCGAAGTTGTTATTTCGACTATGCCTGTTGTTGTCTCTGCTGTAGAGCCAGTAGTTTGAGACACAGTTGTATCATCGGTGCTAGATCCTGTTGTGCCAGTCGTTTGAGAGACAGTTGTACCTTCCGTGCTGGGCACTGGCGAGGTGGTAGTTGCAACTGTGCCTGTTGTTGTCCCGGCTGTAGTGCCAGTAGATTGAGATATAGTTGTACCTTCGGTGCTTGACACTGTTGTGCCAGTAGTCTGAGAGACAGTTGTACCTTCGGTGCTAGTCACTGGCGAGGAGATTGTTGCGATTGTGCCAGTCGTTGTCTCAGCTGTAGTGCCAGTAGTCTGTGAGACAGTTGTGCCTTCGGTGCTTGATACCGTTGTGCCAGTAGTTTGAGACACAGTTGTACCATCGGTGCTAGATCCTGTTGTGCCAGTCGTTTGGGACACAGTTGTACCATCGGTGCTTGAAAATCTTGTCAGAGGAGTTTGTGAGACGGTTGTAGCTTCGGTGCTGGTCACTAGCGATGTGGTTGTTGTTATTGTGCCAGTCGTTGTCTCAGCTGTTGTTCCTGTAGTTTGAGAGACAGTTGTACCATCGGTGCTGGGCACTGGCAAGGTGGTAGTTGCAACTATGCCTGTTGTTGTCCCGGTTGTAGTGCCAGAAGGCTGAGATATAGTTGCACCTTCGGTGCTTGACACTGTTGTGCCATTAGTCTGAGAGACAGTTGTACTTTCAGTGCTTGATACTGTTGTGCCAGTCGTTGTATCAGCTGTGGTGCCAGTAATCTGAGAGACATTTGTACCTTCGTTGCTCGTCACTGGCGAGGTGGTAGTTGCGACTGTGCCAGTAGTTGTCTCAGTTATAGTGCCAGTAGTCTGTGAGACAGTTGTACCTTCGGTGCTTGAAATTGTTGTGCCAGTAGTCTGTGAGACAGTTGTACCTTCGGTGCTTGATACTATTGTACCAGCAGTCTCAGACACGATTGTACCTTCGGTGCTGGTCACAGGCGAGACAGTTGTTGCTGCCGTGCCTGTTGTTGTCTGAGCTATATTTCCAGTAGTCTGTGAGACAGTTGTACCTTCGGTGCTTGTAACTGTTTTGCCAGTAGTCTGAGACACGGTTGTACCTGCTGTACTAGCTACTGGCGAGGTTGTTATTTCGACTATGCCTGTTGTTGTCTGAGCTGTAGTGCCAGTAGTTTCAGACACTGTTGTATCATCGGTGCTAGATCCTGATGTGCCTGTCGTTTGAGAGACAGTTGTTCCATCCGTGCTGGGCACTGGCGAGGTGGTAGTTGCAACTGTGCCTGTTGTTGTTCCGGCTGTAGTGTCAGTAGATTGAGATATAGTTGTACCTTCGGTGCTTGACACTGTTATGCCAGTAGTCTGAGAGACAGTTGTACCTTCGGTGCTTGTCACTGGCGAGGTGGTAGTTGCAATTGTGCCAGTCGTTGTCTCAGCTGTAATGCCAATAGTATGTGAAGCAGTTGTACCTTCAGTGCTTGATACCGTTGTGCCAGTAGTCTGAGACACGGTTGTGGCTTCGGTGCTGGTCACTGGCGATGTGGTAGTTGCAACTGTGCCAGTCGTTGTCGCAGCTGTAGTGCCAGTAGTCTGTGAGACAGTTGAACCTTCGGTGCTTGAAACTGATGTGCCAGTAGTCTGAGACACGGTTGTGCCTTCGGTGCTGGTCCATGTCGAAATGGTAGTTGCGACTGTGCCTGTTGTTGTCTCAGCTGTAGTGCTAGTAGATTGAGGAACAGTTGTACCGTTGGTGCTTGACACTGTTGTGCCAGTAGTTTGCGAGACCGTTGTATCTTCGGTGCTGGTTACTGGCCGAATGGTAGTTGCAACTGTGCCAGTCGTTGTCTCAGCTGTAGTGTCAGTAGTCTGTGATACAGTTGTACTTTCGGAGCTTGATACTATTGTACCAGTAGTCTGAGACACGGTTGTACCTTCGGTGCTGGTCACTGGCAAGGTTGTAGTTTCAATTGTGCCTGTTTTTGTCTCAGCTGTAATGCTAGTAGTCTGTGAGACAGTTGTACCTTCAGTGCTTGATACTATTGTGCCAGTAGTCTGAGACACGGTTGTATCGTCGGTCATCGGCGAGGTGTTAGTTGGGACTGGGCCTGTTATTGTCTCAGATGTAGCTCCAGTACTTTGAGAAACCGTTGTAACATCGGTGCTTGTTACTGTTGTGCCAGTAGTCTGAGAGACAGTTGTACCTTCGGTGCTTGTCACAGGCGAGGTGGTAGTTGCGATTGTGCCAGTAGTTGTCTCAGTTATAGTGCCAGTATTCTGTGAGACAGTTGTACCTTCGGTGCCTGATACTGTTGTGCCTGTAGTCTGAGACACGGTTGAACCGTCGGTGCTTGTCACTGGCGAGGTGGTAGCTTCGACTGTGTCTGTTGTTGGAGCTGAAATGCCAGTAGTCTGTAAAACAGTTGTACCTTCGGTGCTTGACAATGTTGTTCTAGTAGTCTGAGAGACGGTTGAACCTTCGGTGCTGGTCAATGGCGATGTAGTTGTAGCGATTGTGCCAGTCGTTGTCTCAGGTTTTGTTCTAGTAGTCTGTGAGACAGTTGTACCTTCGGTCCTAGTCACTGGTGAAGAGGTGGCGGCAGTGACAGTTGTTGTTTCAGCGTTAATGCCGGTAGTTTGAGAGACGAGTGTACCTTCAGTACTAGTCACTGGTAAAGTTCTGGTGGCAGTGACAGTCGTTGTTACAGCGGTATTGTCGGTAGTTTTAGAGACGGTTGTACCATCGGTGCTGGTCACTGGTGAAGAAGTGGCAGCAGTGACAGTCGTTGTTTTAGCAGAAGTGCCGGTAGTTTGAGAGACGGTTGAACCTTCGGTACTTGTCACTGGTGAAGTTGTGTTGTCCGTGACAATTGTTGTCAAAGTTGTTGAGCCGATTGTTTGAGAGATGGTTGTACCATCAGTGGTAGTCACTGGTGACGTTTTGGCGACAGTGACAGTCGTTGTTTCATCGGTAGTACCAGTAGTTTGAGAGACCGTTGTACCGTCGGTGCTTGTCACTGGCGAGGTGGTTGTTGCGACTGTGCCAGTCGTTGTCTCAGCTGTAGTGCCAGTAGTCTGAGAGACAGTTGTACCTTCGGTGCTCGTCACTGGCGAAGTTGTTGCGACTGTGCCAGTCGTTGTCTCAGCTGTTTTGACAGTAGTCTGAGAGACAGTTGTACCATTGGTGCTTGTCACTGGCGAGGTGGTAGTTGCGACTGTGCCAGTAGTTGTCTCAGTTATAGTGCCAGTAGTCTGTGAGACAGTTGTACCTTCGGTGCCCGATACTGTTGTGCCTGTAGTCTTAGACACGGTTGAACCGTCGGTGCTGGTCACTGGCGAGGTGGTAGCTTCGACTGTGCCTGTTGTTGTCTGAGCTGAAATGCCAGTAGTCTGTAAAACAGTTGTACCTTCGGTGCTTGACACTGTTGTTCTAGTAGTCTGAGAGACGGTTGAACCTTCGGTGCTGGTCAATGGCGATGTAATAGTTGCGATTGTGCCAGTCGTTGTCTCAGGTGTTTTTCTACTAGTCTGTGAGACAGTTGTACCTTCGGTCCTAGTCACTGGTGAAGTTGTGTTGTCCGTGACAATTGTTGTCAAAGTTGTTGAGCCGGTTGTTTGAGAGATGGTTGTACCATCAGTGGTAGTCACTGGTGACGTTTTGGCGACAGTGACAGTCGTTGTTTCATCGGTAGTACCAGTAGTCTGAGAGACGGTTGAACCTTCGGTGCTGGTCAATGGCGAGGTGGTAGTTGCGACTGTGCCAGTCGTTGTCTCAGCTGTAGTGCCAGCAGTCTGAGAGACAGTTGTACCTTCGGTGCTCGTCACTGGCAAGGTGGTAGTTGCGACTGTGCCAGTCGTTGTCTCAGCTGTATTGACAGTAGTCTGAGAGACAGTTGTACCATTGGTGCTTGTCACTGGCGAGGTGGTAGTTGCGACTGTGCCAGTAGTTCTCTCAGTTATAGTGCCAGTAGTCTGTGAGACAGTTGTACCTTCGGTGCCCGATACTGTTGTGCCTGTAGTCTGAGACACGGTTGAACCGTCGGTGCTGGTCACTGGCGAGGTGGTAGCTTCGACTGTGCCTGTTGTTGTCTGAGCTGAAATGCTAGTAGTCTGTAAAACAGTTGTACCTTCGGTGCTTGACACTGTTGTTCTAGTAGTCTGAGAGACGGTTGAACCTTCGGTGCTGGTCAATGGCGATGTAATAGTTGCGATTGTGCCAGTCGTTGTCTCAGGTGTTTTTCTACTAGTCTGTGAGACAGTTGTACCTTCGGTCCTAGTCACTGGTGAAGTTGTGTTGTCCGTGACAATTGTTGTCAAAGTTGTTGAGCCGGTTGTTTGAGAGATGGTTGTACCATCAGTGGTAGTCACTGGTGACGTTTTGGCGACAGTGACAGTCGTTGTTTCATCGGTAGTACCAGTAGTTTGAGAGACCGTTGTACCTTTGATGCTAGTCACTGGTGAAGTGGTGGCGGCAGTGACAGTTGTACCGTCGGTGCTTGTCACTGGCGAGGTGGTTGTTGCGACTGTGCCAGTCGTTGTCTCAGCTGTAGTGCCAGTAGTCTGAGAGACAGTTGTACCTTCGGTGCTCGTCACTGGCGAAGTTGTTGCGACTGTGCCAGTCGTTGTCTCAGCTGTATTGACAGTAGTCTGAGAGACAGTTGTACCATTGGTGCTTGTCACTGGCGAGGTGGTAGTTGCGACTGTGCCAGTAGTTCTCTCAGTTATAGTGCCAGTAGTCTGTGAGACAGTTGTACCTTCGGTGCCCGATACTGTTGTGCCTGTAGTCTGAGACACGGTTGAACCGTCGGTGCTGGTCACTGGCGAGGTGGTAGCTTCGACTGTGCCTGTTGTTGTCTGAGCTGAAATGCTAGTAGTCTGTAAAACAGTTGTACCTTCGGTGCTTGACACTGTTGTTCTAGTAGTCTGAGAGACGGTTGAACCTTCGGTGCTGGTCAATGGCGATGTAATAGTTGCGATTGTGCCAGTCGTTGTCTCAGGTGTTTTTCTACTAGTCTGTGAGACAGTTGTACCTTCGGTCCTAGTCACTGGTGAAGTTGTGTTGTCCGTGACAATTGTTGTCAAAGTTGTTGAGCCGGTTGTTTGAGAGATGGTTGTACCATCAGTGGTAGTCACTGGTGACGTTTTGGCGACAGTGACAGTCGTTGTTTCATCGGTAGTACCAGTAGTTTGAGAGACCGTTGTACCTTTGATGCTAGTCACTGGTGAAGTGGTGGCGGCAGTGACAGTTGTACCGTCGGTGCTTGTCACTGGCGAGGTGGTTGTTCCGACTGTGCCAGTCGTTGTCTCAGCTGTAGTGCCAGTAGTCTGAGAGACAGTTGTACCTTCGGTGCTCGTCACTGGCGAAGTTGTTGCGACTGTGCCAGTCGTTGTCTCAGCTGTATTGACAGTAGTCTGAGAGACAATTGTACCATTGGTTCTCGTCACTGGCGAGGTGGTAGTTGCGGCTGTGCCAGTATTTGTCTCAGTTATAGTGCCAGTAGTCTGTGAGACAGTTGTACCTTCGGTGCCCGATACTGTTGTGCCTGTAGTCTGAGACACGGTTGAACCGTCGGTGCTGGTCACTGGCGAGGTGGTAGCTTCGACTGTGCCTGTTGTTGTCTGAGCTGAAATGCCAGTAGTCTGTAAAACAGTTGTACCTTCGGTGCTTGACACTGTTGTTCTAGTAGTCTGAGAGACGGTTGAACCTTCGGTGCTGGTCAATGGCGATGTAATAGTTGCGATTGTGCCAGTCGTTGTCTCAGGTGTTTTTCTACTAGTCTGTGAGACAGTTGTACCTTCGGTCCTAGTCACTGGTGAAGAGGTGCCGGCAGTGACAGTTGTACCGTCGGTGCTTGCCACTGGCGAGGTGGTTGTTGCGACTGTGCCAGTCGTTGTCTCAGCTGTATTGACAGTAGTCTGAGAGACAGTTGTATCATTGGTGCTCGTCACTGGCGAGGTGGTAGTTGCAACTGTGCCAGTAGTTGTCTCAGTTATAGTGCCAGTAGAATGTGAAACAGTTGTACCTTCGGTGCCCGATACTGTTGTGTCTGTAGTCTGAGACACGGTTGAACCGTCGGTGCTGGTCACTGGCGAGGTGGTAGCTTCGACTGTGCCTGTTGTTGTCTGAGATGAAATGCCAGTAGTCTGTGAGACAGTTGTACCTTCGGTGCTTGACACTGTTGTTCTAGTAGTCTGAGAGACGGTTGAACCTTCGGTGCTGGTCAATGGCGAGGTGGTAGTTGCGACTGTGCCTGTCGTTGTCTCAGCTGTAGTGCCAGTAGTCTGAGAGACAGTTGTACCTTCGGTGCTCGTCACTGGCAAGGTGGTAGTTGCGACTGTGCCAGTCGTTGTCTCAGCTGTATTGACAGTAGTCTGAGAGACAGTTGTACCATTGGTGCTTGTCACTGGCGAGGTGGTAGTTGCGACTGTGCCAGTAGTTGTCTCAGTTATAGTGCCAGTAGTCTGTGAGACAGTTGTACCTTCGGTGCCCGATACTGTTGTGCCTGTAGTCTGAGACACGGTTGAACCGTCGGTGCTGGTCACTGGCGAGGTGGTAGCTTCGACTGTGCCTGTTGTTGTCTGAGCTGAAATGCCAGTAGTCTGTAAAACAGTTGTACCTTCGGTGCTTGACACTGTTGTTCTAGTAGTCTGAGAGACGGTTGAACCTTCGGTGCTGGTCAATGGCGATGTAATAGTTGCGATTGTGCCAGTCGTTGTCTCAGGTGTTTTTCTACTAGTCTGTGAGACAGTTGTACCTTCAGTCCTAGTCACTGGTGAAGAGGTGGCGGCAGTGACAGTTGTACCGTCGGTGCTTGCCACTGGCGAGGTGGTTGTTGCGACTGTGCCAGTCGTTGTCTCAGCTCTTTTGACAGTAGTCTGAGAGACAGTTGTATCATTGGTGCTCGTCACTGGCGAGGTGGTAGTTGCGACTGTGCCAGTAGTTGTCTCAGTTATAGTGCCAGTAGTCTGTGAGACAGTTGTACCTTCGGTTCCCGATACTGTTGTGCCTGTAGTCTGAGACACGGTTGAACCGTCGGTGCTGGTCACTGGCGAGGTGGTAGCTTCGACTGTGCCTGTTGTTGCTTGAGCTGAAATGTCAGTAGTCTGTGAAACAGTTGTACCTTCGGTGCTTGACACTGTTGTTCTAGTAGTCTGAGAGACGGTTGAACCTTCGGTGCTGGTCAATGGCGATGTAGTAGTTGCGATTGTGCCAGTCGTTGTCTCAGCTGTAGTGCCAGTAGTCTGAGAGACAGTTGTACCTTCGGTGCTCGTCACTGGCAAGGTGGTAGTTGCGACTGTGCCAGTCGTTATCTCAACTGTATTGACAGTTGTCTGAGAGACAGTTGTACCATTGGTGCTTGTCACTGGCGAGGTGGTAGTTGCGACTGTGCCAGTAGTTGTCTCAGTTATAGTGCTAGTAGTCTGTGAGACAGTTGTACCTTCGGTGCCCGATACTGTTGTGCCTGTAGTCTGAGACACGGTTGAACCGTCGGTGCTGGTCACTGGCGAGGTGGTAGCTTCGACTGTGCCTGTTGTTGTCTGAGCTGAAATGCCAGTCGTCTGTAAAACAGTTGTACCTTCGGTGCTTGACACTGTTGTTCTAGTAGTCTGAGAGACGGTTGAACCTTCGGTGCTGGTCAATGGCGATGTAATAGTTGCGATTGTGCCAGTCGTTGTCTCAGGTGTTTTTCTACTAGTCTGTGAGACAGTTGTACCTTCGGTCCTAGTCACTGGTGAAGAGGTGGCGGCAGTGACAGTTGTACCGTCGGTGCTTGCCACTGGCAAGGTGGTAGTTGCGACTGTGCCAGTCGTTGTCTCAGCTGTATTGACAGTAGTCTGAGAGACAGTTGTACCATTGGTGCTTGTCACTGGCGAGGTGGTAGTTGCGACTGTGCCAGTAGTTGTCTCAGTTATAGTGCCAGTAGTCTGTGAGACAGTTGTACCTTCGGTGCCCGATACTGTTGTGACTGTAGTCTGAGACACGGTTGAACCGTCGGTGCTGGTCACTGGCGAGGTGGTAGCTTCGACTGTGACTGTTGTTGTCTGAGCTGAAATGCCAGTAGTCTGTAAAACAGTTGTACCTTCGGTGCTTGACACTGTTGTTCTAGTAGTCTGAGAGACGGTTGAACCTTCGGTGCTGGTCAATGGCGATGTAATAGTTGCGATTGTGCCAGTCGTTCTCTCAGGTGTTTTTCTACTAGTCTGTGAGACAGTTGTACCTTCGGTCCTAGTCACTGGTGAAGAGGTGGCGGCAGTGACAGTTGTACCGTCGGTGCTTGCCACTGGCGAGGTGGTTGTTGCGACTGTGCCAGTCGTTGTCTCAGCTGTATTGACAGTAGTCTGAGAGACAGTTGTATCATTGGTGCTCGTCACTGGCGAGGTGGTAGTTGCGACTGTGCCAGTAGTTGTCTCAGTTATAGTGCCAGTAGTCTGTGAGACAGTTGTACCTTCGGTTCCCGATACTGTTGTGCCAGTAGTCTGAGACACGGTTGAACCGTCGGTGCTGGTCACAGGCGAGGTGGTAGCTTCGACTGTGCCTGTTGTTGCTTGAGCTGAAATGTCAGTAGTCTGTGAAACAGTTGTACCTTCGGTGCTTGACACTGTTGTTCTAGTAGTCTGAGAGACGGTTGAACCTTCGGTGCTGGTCAATGGCGATGTAGTAGTTGCGATTGTGCCAGTCGTTGTCTCAGCTGTAGTGCCAGTAGTCTGAGAGACAGTTGTACCTTCGGTGCTCGTCACTGGCAAGGTGGTAGTTGCGACTGTGCCAGTCGTTATCTCAGCTGTATTGACAGTTGTCTTAGAGACAGTTGTACCATTGGTGCTTGTCACTGGCGAGGTGGTAGTTGCGACTATGCCAGTAGTTGTCTCAGTTATAGTGCCAGTAGTCTGTGAGACAGTTGTACCTTCGGTGCCCGATACTGTTGTGCCTGTAGTCTGAGACACGGTTGAACCGTCGGTGCTGGTCACTGGCGAGGTGGTAGCTTCGACTGTGCCTGTTGTTGCTTGAGCTGAAATGTCAGTAGTCTGTGAAACAGTTGTACCTTCGGTGCTGGTCAATGGCGATGTAGTAGTTGCGATTGTGCCAGTCGTTGTCTCAGGTGTTTTTCTACTAGTCTGTGAGACAGTTGTACCTTCGGTCCTAGTCACTGGTGAAGAGGTGGCGGCAGTGACAGTTGTACCGTCGGTGCTTGCCACTGGCGAGGTGGTTGTTGCGACTGTTCCAGTCGTTGCCTCAGCTGTATTGCCAGTAGTCTGAGAGACAGTTGTATCATTAGTGCTCGTCACTGGCGAGGTGGTAGTTGCGACTGTGCCAGTAGTTGTCTGAGTTAAAGTGCCAGTAGTCTGTGAGACAGTTGTACCTTCGGTGCCTGATACTGTTGTGCCTGTATTCTGAGACACGGTTGAACCGTCGGTGCTGGTCACTGGCGAGGTGGTAGCTTCGACTGTGCCTGTTGTTGTCTGAGCTGAAATGCCAGTAGTCTGTGAAACAGTTGTAACTTCGGTGCTTGACACTGTTGTTCTAGTAGTCTGAGAGACGGTTGAACCTTCGGTGCTGGTCAATGGCGATGTAGTAGTTGTGATTGTGCCAGTCGTTGTCTCAGGTGTTGTTCTAGTAGTCTGTGAGACAGTTGTACCTTCGGTGCTCGTCACTGGCGAGGTGGTAGTTGCGACTGTGCCAGTCGTTGTCTCAGCTGTATTGACAGTAGTCTGAGAGACAGTTGTACCATTGGTGCTTGTCACTGGCGAGGTGGTAGTTGCGACTGTGCCAGGAGTTGTCTCAGTTATAGTGCCAGTAGTCTGTGAGACAGTTGTTCCTTCGGTGCCCGATACTGTTGTGCCTGTAGTCTGAGACACGGTTGAACCGTCGGTGCTGGTCACTGGCGAGGTGGTAGCTTCGACTGTGCCTGTTGTTGCTTGAGCTGAAATGTCAGTAGTCTGTGAAACAGTTGTACCTTCGGTGCTTGACACTGTTGTTCTAGTAGTCTGAGAGACGGTTGAACCTTCGGTGCTGGTCAATGGCGATGTAGTAGTTGCGATTGTGCCAGTCGTTGTCTCAGCTGTAGTGCCAGTAGTCTGAGAGACAGTTGTACCTTCGGTGCTCGTCACTGGCAAGGTGGTAGTTGCGACTGTGCCAGTCGTTATCTCAACTGTATTGACAGTTGTCTGAGAGACAGTTGTACCATTTTTGCTTGTCACTGGCGAGGTGGTAGTTGCGACTGTGCCAGTAGTTGTCTCAGTTATAGTGCTAGTAGTCTGTGAGACAGTTGTACCTTCGGTGCCCGATACTGTTGTGCCTGTAGTCTGAGACACGGTTGAACCGTCGGTGCTGGTCACTGGCGAGGTGGTAGCTTCGACTGTGCCTGTTGTTGTCTGAGCTGAAATGCCAGTAGTCTGTAAAACAGTTGTACCTTCGGTGCTTGACACTGTTGTTCTAGTAGTCTGAGAGACGGTTGAACCTTCGGTGCTGGTCAATGGCGATGTAATAGTTGCGATTGTGCCAGTCGTTGTCTGAGCTGAAATGCCAGTAGTCTGTAAAACAGTTGTACCTTCGGTGCTTGACACTGTTGTTCTAGTAGTCTGAGAGACGGTTGTACCTTCGGTCCTAGTCACTGGTGAAGAGGTGGCGGCAGTGACAGTTGTACCGTCGGTGCTTGCCACTGGCGAGGTGGTTGTTGCGACTGTGCCAGTCGTTGTCTCAGCTGTATTGACAGTAGTCTGAGAGACAGTTGTATCATTGGTGCTCGTCACTGGCGAGGTGGTAGTTGCGACTGTGCCAGTAGTTGTCTCAGTTATAGTGCCAGTAGTCTGTGAGACAGTTGTACCTTCGGTGCCCGATACTGTTGTGCCTGTAGTCTGAGACACGGTTGAACCGTCGGTGCTGGTCACTGGCGAGGTGGTAGCTTCGACTGTGCCTGTTGTTGCTTGAGCTGAAATGTCAGTAGTCTGTGAAACAGTTGTACCTTCGGTGCTGGTCAATGGCGATGTAGTAGTTGCGATTGTGCCAGTCGTTGTCTCAGCTGTATTGACAGTAGTCTGAGAGACAGTTGTATCATTGGTGCTCGTCACTGGCGAGGTGGTAGTTGCGACTGTGCCAGTAGTTGTCTCAGTTATAGTGCCAGTAGTCTGTGAGACAGTTGTACCTTCGGTGCCCGATACTGTTGTGCCTGTAGTCTGAGACACGGTTGAACCGTCGGTGCTGGTCACTGGCGAGGTGGTAGCTTCGACTGTGCCTGTTGTTGTCTGAGCTGAAATGCCAGTAGTCTGTGAGACAGTTGTACCTTTGGTGCTTGACACTGTTGTTCTAGTAGTCTGAGAGACGGTTGAACCTTCGGTGCTGGTCAATGGCGAGGTGGTAGTTGCGACTGTGCCAGTCGTTGTCTCAGCTGTAGTGCCAGTAGTCTGAGAGACAGTTGTACCTTCGGTGCTCGTCACTGGCAAGGTGGTAGTTGCGACTGTGCCAGTCGTTGTCTCAGCTGTATTGACAGTAGTCTGAGAGACAGTTGTACCATTGGTGCTTGTCACTGGCGAGGTGGTAGTTGCGACTGTGCCAGTAGTTGTCTCAGTTATAGTGCCAGTAGTCTGTGAGACAGTTGTACCTTCGGTGCCCGATACTGTTGTGCCTGTAGTCTGAGACACGGTTGAACCGTCGGTGCTGGTCACTGGCGAGGTGGTAGCTTCGACTGTGCCTGTTGTTGTCTGAGCTGAAATGCCAGTAGTCTGTAAAACAGTTGTACCTTCGGTGCTTGACACTGTTGTTGTAGTAGTCTGAGAGACGGTTGAACCTTCGGTGCTGGTCAATGGCGATGTAATAGTTGCGATTGTGCCAGTCGTTGTCTCAGGTGTTTTTCTACTAGTCTGTGAGACAGTTGTACCTTCGGTCCTAGTCACTGGTGAAGAGGTGGCGGCAGTGACAGTTGTACCGTCGGTGCTTGCCACTGGCGAGGTGGTTGTTGCGACTGTGCCAGTCGTTGTCTCAGCTGTATTGACAGTAGTCTGAGAGACAGTTGTATCATTGGTGCTCGTCACTGGCGAGGTGGTAGTTGCGACTGTGCCAGTAGTTGTCTCAGTTATAGTGCCAGTAGTCTGTGAGACAGTTGTACCTTCGGTGCCTGATACTGTTGTGCCTGTAGTCTGAGACACGGTTGAACCGTCGGTGCTGGTCACTGGCGAGGTGGTAGCTTCGACTGTGCCTGTTGTTGTCTGAGCTGAAATGCCAGTAGTCTGTGAGACAGTTGTACCTTCGGTGCTTGACACTGTTGTTCTAGTAGTCTGAGAGACGGTTGAACCTTCGGTGCTGGTCAATGGCGAGATGGTAGTTGCGACTGTGCCAGTCGTTGTCTCAGCTGTAATGTCAGTAGTCTGAGAGACAGTTGTACCTTCGGTGCTCGTCACTGGCAAGGTGGTAGTTGCGACTGTGCCAGTCGTTGTCTCAGCTGTATTGACAGTAGTCTGAAAGACAGTTGTACCGTTGGTGCTTGTTACTGGCGAGGTGGTAGTTGCGACTGTGCCAGTAGTTTTCTCAGTTATAGTGCCAGTAGCCTGTGAGACAGTTGTACCTTCGGTTCCCGATACTGTTGTGCCTGCAGTCTGAGACACGGTTGAACCGTCGGTGCTGGTCACTGGCGAGGTGGTAGCTTCGACTGTGCCTGTTGTTGCTTGAGCTGAAATGCCAGTAGTCTGTGAAACAGTTGTACCTTCGGTGCTTGACACTGTTGTTCTAGTAGTCTGAGAGACGGTTGAACCTTCGGTGCTGGTCAATGGCAATGTAGTAGTTGCGATTGTGCCAGTCTTTGTCTCAGGTGTTTTTCTACTAGTCTGTGAGACAGTTGTACCTTCGGTCCTAGTCACTGGTGAAGAGGTGGCGGCAGTGAAACTTGTACCGTCGGTGCTTGCCACTGGCGAGGTGGTTGTTGCAACTGTGCCAGTCGTTGTCTCAGCTGTATTGACAGTAGTCTGAGAGACAGTTGTACCTTCGGTGCCTGATACTGTTGTGCCTGTAGTCTGAGACACGGTTGAACCGTCGGTGCTGGTCACTGGCGAGGTGGTAGCTTCGACTGTGCCTGTTGTTGTCTGAGCTGAAATGCCAGTTGTCTGTGGAACAGTTGTACCTTCGGTGCTTGACACTGTTGTTCTAGTAGTCTGAGAGACGGTTGAATCTTCGGTGCTGGTCAATGGCGATGTAGTAGTTGTGATTGTGCCAGTCGTTGTCTCAGGTGTTGTTCTAGTAGTCTGTGAAACAGTTGTACCTTCGGTGCTCGTCACTGGCGAGGTGGTAGTTGCGACTGTGCCAGTCGTTGTCTCAGCTGTATTGACAGTAGTCTGAGAGACAGTTGTACCATTGGTGCTCGTCACTGGCGAGGTGGTAGTTGCGACTGTGCCAGTAGTTGTCTCAGTTATAGTGCCAGGAGTCTGTGAGACAGTTGTACCTTCGGTGCCTGATACTGTTGTGCCTGTAGTCTGAGACACGGTTGAACCGTCGGTGCTGGTCACTGGCGAGGTGGTAGCTTCGACTGTGCCTGTTGTTGTCTGAGCTGAAATGCCAGTAGTCTGTGAGATAGTTGTACCTTCGGTGCTTGACACTGTTGTTCTAGTAGTCTGAGAGACGGTTGAACCTTCGGTGCTGGTCAATGGCGAGGTGGTAGTTGCGACTGTGCCAGTCGTTGTCTCAGCTGTAGTGCCAGTAGTCTGAGAGACAGTTGTACCTTCGGTGCTCGTCACTGGCAAGGTGGTAGTTGCGACTGTGCCAGTCGTTGTCTCAGCTGTATTGACAGTAGTCTGAGAGACAGTTGTACCATTGGTGCTTCTCACTGGCGAGGTGGTAGTTGCGACTGTGCCAGTAGTTGTCTCAGTTATAGTGCCAGTAGCCTGTGAGACAGTTGTACCTTCGGTGCCCGATACTGTTGTGCCTGTAGTCTGAGACACGGTTGAACCGTCGGTGCTGGTCACTGGCGAGGTGGTTGCTTCGACTGTGCCTGTTGTTGCTTGAGCTGAAATGCCAGTAGTCTGTGAAACAGTTGTACCTTCGGTGCTTGACACTGTTGTTCTAGTAGTCTGAGAGACGGTTGAACCTTCGGTGCTGGTCAATGGCGATGTAGTAGTTGCGATTGTGCCAGTCTTTGTCTCAGGTGTTTTTCTACTAGTCTGTGAGACAGTTGTACCTTCGGTCCTAGTCACTGGTGAAGAGGTGGCGGCAGTGACAGTTGTACCGTCGGTGCTTGCCACTGGCGAGGTGGTTGTTGCGACTGTGCCAGTCGTTGTCTCAGCTGTATTGACAGTAGTCTGAGGGACAGTTGTATCATTGGTACTCGTCACTGGCGAGGTGGTAGTTGCGACTGTGCCAGTAGTTGTCTCAGTTATCGTGCCAGTAGTCTGTGAGACAGTTGTACCTTCGGTGCCCGATACTGTTGTGCCTGTAGTCTGAGACACGGTTGAACCGTCGGTGCTGGTCACTGGCGAGGTGGTAGCTTCGACTGTGCCTGTTGTTGTCTGAGCTGAAATGCCAGTAGTCTGTAAAACAGTTGTACCTTCGGTGCTTGACACTGTTGTTCTAGTAGTCTGAGAGACGGTTGAACCTTCGGTGCTGGTCAATGGCGATGTAATAGTTGCGATTGTGCCAGTCGTTGTCTCAGGTGTTTTTCTACTAGTCTGTGAGACAGTTGTACCTTCGGTCCTAGTCACTGGTGAAGAGGTGGCGGCAGTGACAGTTGTACCGTCGGTGCTTGCCACTGGCGAGGTGGTTGTTGCGACTGTGCCAGTCGTTGTCTCAGCTGTATTGACAGTAGTCTGAGGGACAGTTGTATCATTGGTACTCGTCACTGGCGAGGTGGTAGTTTCGACTGTGCCAGTAGTTGTCTCAGTTATAGTGCCAGTGGTCTGTGAGACAGTTGTACCTTCGGTGCCTGATACTGTTGTGCCTGTAGTCTGAGACACGGTTGAACCGTCGGTTCTGGTCACTGGCGAGTTGGTAGCTTCGACTGTGCCTGTTGTTGTCTGAGCTGAAATGCCAGTTGTCTGTGAAACAGTTGTACCTTCGGTGCTTGACACTGTTGTTCTAGTAGTCTGAGAGACGGTTGAACCTTCGGTGCTGGTCAATGGCGATGTAGGAGTTGTGATTGTGCGAGTCGTTGTCTCAGGTGTTGTTCTAGTAGTCTGTGAGACAGTTGTACCTTCGGTCCTAGTCACTGGTGAAGAGGTGGCGGCAGTGACAGTTGTTGTTTCAGCGTTAATGTCGGTACTTTGAGAGACGAGTGAACTTTCAGTACTAGTCACTGGTGAAGTTGTGGTGGCAGTGACAGTCGTTGTTACAGCGGTATTGTCGGTAGTTTTAGAGACGGTTGTACCATCGGTGCTTGTCACTGGTGAAGTGCTGGCAGCAGTGACAGTCCTTGTTTCAGCAGAAGTGCCGGTAGTTTGTGAGACGGTTGTACCTTCGGTACTTGTCACTTGTGAAGTTGTGTTGTCCGTGACAGTTGTTGTCAAAATTGTTGAGCTGGTTGTTTGAGAGATGGTTGTACCATCAGTGGTAGTCACTGGTGACGTTTTGGCGACAGTGACAGTCGTTGTTTCATCGGTAGTACCAGTAGTTTGAAAGACCGTTGTACCTTTGGTGCTAGTCACTGGTGAAGTGGTGGCGGCAGTGACAGTTGTACCGTCGGTGCTTGTCCCTGGCGAGGTGGTTGTTGCGACTGTGTCAGTCGTTGTCTCAGCTGTAGTGCCAGTAGTCTGAGAGACAGTTGTAACTTCGGTGCTCGTCACTGGCGAGGTGGTAGTTGCGACTGTGCCAGTCGTTGTCTCAGCTGTATTGACAGTAGTCTGAGAGACAGTTGTACCATTGGTGCTCGTCACTGGCGAGGTGGTAGTTGCGACTGTGCCAGTATTTGTCTCAGTTATAGTGCCAGTAGTCTGTGAGACAGTTGTACCTTCGGTGCCTGATACTGTTGTGCCTGTAGTCTGAGACACGGTTGAACCGTCGGTGCTGGTCACTGGCGAGGTGGTAGCTTCGACTGTGCCTGTTGTTGTATGAGCTGAAATGCCAGTAGTCTGTGAGACAGTTTTACCTTCGGTGCTTGACACTGTTGTTCTAGTAGTCTGAGAGACGGTTGAACCTTCGGTGCTGGTCAATGGCGATGTAGTAGTTGCGATTGTGCCAGTCGTTGTCTGAGCTGAAATGCCAGTAGTCTGTAAAACAGGTGTTGTTCTAGAAGTCTGTGAGACAGTTGTACCTTCGGTCCTAGTTACTGGTGAAGAGGTGGCGGCAGTGACAGTTGTTGTTTCAGCGTTAATGCCGGTAGTTTGAGAGACGAGTGTACCTTCAGTACTAGTCACTGGTGAAGTTGTGGTGGCAGTGACAGTCGTTGTTACAGCGGTATTGTCGGTAGTTTGCGAAACGGTTGTACCTTCGGTTCTGGTCACTGGTGAAATGGTGGCAGCAGTGACAGTTGTTGTTTCAGCGGTAGTTCCGGTTGTTTGAGAGACGGTTGTTCCTTCGGTGCTAGTCACTGGTGAAGTGGTGGCGACAGGGACAGTCGTTGTGTCAGCGGTAGTACCGGTTGTTTGAGAGATAGTTGTGCCTTCGCTGCTACTCCCTGGTGAAGTTGTGGCGGCAGTGACATTTGTTGTTTCAGAGGTAGGGCCGGTTGTCTCAGAGACAGTTGTACTTTTGGTGATAGTCTCTGGCGAAGTTGTGGCGACAATGACAGTCGTTTTTTCAGCGGCAGTGCTGGTAGTTTGAGAGACGATTGTACCTTCGGTGTTTGTCACTGGTGAAGTGGTGGCGGCAGTTACAGTTGTTGTTTTAGCGGTAGTGTCGGGTGTCTGAGAGACGGTTGTACTTTCTGTATTTGTCACAGGCGAGGTTGAGGCAGCTGTGACAGATGTTGTGTCAGCAGTTGATCCGGTTGTCTGCGTAATATTTGTGCCTTCGCTGTTAGTCACTGGTGAAGTTGTGGCGGTAGTGACAGTCGTTGTTTCAGCGGTAGTGTCGATAGTTTGAGAGACGGTTATACCTTTGTTGCTAGTCACCGGTGAATTGTTGGCGGCAGTGACAGTTGTTGTTTCAGCGGAAGTGTTGGGTGTACCTTCGGTATAAGTCACAGACGAGGTTGTGGCAGCTGTGACAGATGTTGTGTCAGAGGTAGTTTTGGTTGTCTGCGGTATAGTTGTGCCCACGCTGCTAGTCGTCTGAGAGGTTGTTGCGGTAGTGACAATTGCTGTTTTAGTGGTAGTGCCTGTCCACTCAGAGACAGTTGTATCTTTGTTGCTAGTCACTGGCGATGTTGTGGCGTCATTGACAGTTTCAGCTGGGGTGCTTGTATTTTGAGAGACGGTTGTACCTTCGGTGACAGTTGTTGTCTCAGCTATATTCATAATTAAATGTGACATTGATTAAATGATCATTTCTGAATATTGATTACCACTACTGAAGCTGAATGTTTTAAGTTTAGAAAAGTATATGGAAAAAAGTCAAGCCGAGTCAAAGATACCTCTATGTTCAGGACTCCAGAGTTGCGCCTACATAAGACTTATCAGTGGTGTTCAGGCTTGGGGTAATGTAAATGTACTCATTAATCAGCCGTTATACGTTACAATTTTTCAAGTAATCATAGTAATCATTAATCAGACTAAAATCTGATGACATGTTATTTAATCTAATCAATTACTTTCAAAGTACCTTGTAATCCTGATACGTTCTGATTGAAATTAAAAAAAATCTCAAATTGTGTTTATGGTCAATATAACGTGTCTTAAAAGAACATTTTTATTCTTCATATGTAATAAATATATAACTTGTTAAAACAGTTTTGTTTACTTTAAGCATGTTGAGATATTACGAAATATGGATATAAATGTAGTTTGATACCAACAAAATGTTCTTTTAATATTTTTTGCCCCACCTACGATAGTAGAGATTCATTGTGTTTTTCGGTCTGTACGTCCGTTCGTTCGTCCGCTAGTCTGTCCCTCTTCAGGTTAAAGTTTTTGGTCAAAGTAGTTTTTGATGAAGTTGAAGTCCAATCAACTTGAAACTTAGTACACATGTTTCCTATGATATGATCTTTCTAATTCTAATGCAAAATTAGAGTTTTTACCCCAATTTCACGGTCCACTGAACATAGACAATGATAGTGCGAGTCGGGCATCCGTGTACTATGGACACATTCTTGTTTAACCTTCATTCATTAACATCATTCAAATGGATTATTTTGAAATTCTTTGTAATCAAATGTAATCAGAATTACTTTCCAATGTAATCATTAATTTAATTAGTTACTTTGTGAAATTGTGTAATCTTTAATTTAATTTAATTGTACATTGACAAAGTAATTGTAATGTAACCAATAACATTGAAAGTAATCAGAATTTTAATTAAAGGACTCAGACTCTAAAAGACATCAATTGCATGCTTCATTATTGTTTTAACTGGTTTTGAACAGTTAAATGCCCTCTGAAAATAAAGGTTTGCCTAAACAATGCCCTGTCTAAAATTGAGAAGTTTTATAAGGAAGTATTTTTGGCTGTGTTCCTTGATAAAATTCCATCCATAGTACCTTTTATTGATCGTAAAATGACATCAAAAGGTGGCCAAAATACTGTCAAAGCAAAATGGGCGGTTGAAAAACGATAACAAACATAAGCCAGTGGACTTTATACTGTAAACGTGGATATATTTTTAGAGGGAGTTATTTTCTATATTTTTGTCATGCGTAAAATGCCGAAAATATATCCAGCGCGCGAATACCTTGTAAGAAGCATCAATATTGAAATGAGGGACGAAATTATGATTATTTAAGAATAGCTTTAGTTGCTTGTTCCTGAATCTTAATTGTCATTATGAAAATATATTTTCCTAATGTATGTTGATTTCATTTCATTATATATACATATTTGTTTTTATTAATTTTGTTTCGATGCGCAAGGTTTATCCCGCGCGAAAAGTGTATGCCTTGAAATCGTGGAAATAACATATTTCGTGCATGAAGATATATTACTCGTATCACACTGCACGGATTGTGATACGAAAAATGCATTAATTTGATTGGCTTATCCAGCATCATTAGACTATATTACGACATTTCCATTTGCTATTTGTTTGGTCATTGATGCCTTTAAAAGGTTAAGATGATGAATATTTCGTCCATGACAACGGACATTTGTGAATTCTTTATTAACATACAAACCACTCAAACATTTCATCTGAAAATCTTCTTTTTGTTAATTTTTATTACATTCTGAAGCGTACAAAAAGTTTTAAAATGTCTGATCTTTAATTTTGACGCCGGAACAGGATATATCACGTTATACTGGTATGCGCAAAAGACTAGCAAAAGATTTGCGGAATTTTTTATTGAACACATGAGAGTGTTGACCATACGAGCAATATGTTTAAAAACCCGTGAGAATTGAATATGGCTTGATATCAACTCTCATAATTTAATTTAAATAAGACTAATAATTTATTATTAAATTGAAATAGAATAACTCGGGTTGATATAAAGCGATGTCCAATTCTAACTCAGTTTCATACCTATACTTATACAATGGAACCTTTCATTTTCGAGCGATATTGCACTTCTGCTATATCGGGAAATGTAAGCTTTCTAATATGTGCGTACATGCATACTCATGTGTACATTCTTTGCGAATTATTTTGATGCTATTAAAAAATCGCCACAAAAAAGACCTTACCTGTTGTTCCGTCAGCTATCGTCGTTGAACCTATAAAATAAGTTTTTTTGTGTTAGTTTAAACAAGCATGAATCCATATTGAAGTGCGAATTTGTAAAAAATACGTATACGGCAAATGGTGTGTAAGAATAACCCTTCCATCGGGTTCCTGTCCGGAATCACATTTTGACAATAAGTCTCGGAAGAAACAATAATTATTTCTTGTTACTTTTTGCGGGTAATCGTAGCCAGTGCCTTCAAAGTTCTCTTTCTTTGTATTATTAGTTCAATTTAATCTTTTAACTGTTACACATTTGCATGAAAAATAAATTACATATCACTATCTTAAAGATAAATTTGAAAAAAGATATGGAGAGCATTGCAATTCGGATTTTAAACTCACAGGAGAGCAAACAGACATATATATCGGATCAGGTTTTTTTTCAAATTGTTCACCGGAAATATTACGTTTGTACAAATTTCACAAATTATATTAGTTTATCAACTTTCAACTAACAAGTTCAGTCTTTAGTTTTCTATGTTGTGTTTTGTGTACTGTTGTTTGTCTTTTCGTCGTTTTTCATTTTTTACAATGACATTGTCAGCTGTTTTCGACTTATGAGTCAGAATATTCCTTTGGTATCTTTCGCCTTATACCATATCACTTTTTACTAAAGTCAATACCTAAAGATGAAATAACATAGACAGAAAACCCCAATCTTTGAATAAGCCCGATGTAGAGAACGCTTATAACAATATTGATTTAAATGCAAAAAAAACATTATTTAGATTGCCTAACAAAGAACTTGGAATTCACAGCCAATTTGGACATCCCACTTCTACAATAACATCATTCACGAACGAGAAGATGTTTCAAATTACAAATCCGTGTTTCACGCCTTTGGTCTTAATATCTAACATCCAAAATAGGAAAAGAAAAAGCAGGGAACACTGGAAAGTTTAAAAATCAAAAGCTGTAAATAGATGCCTGAGGTAGTTAGCACACCGACATAGTTTAACAAACATGAGATTCACTGACAATATACTAGTATCTCTCTTTGAATTATCCAAAACCGAAACAGTATCTTTTGAGTGTATTGTATAGATAGTCCAACAGCAACGGTACCGACCCTGTGATATAGTTAACACAGCATACGATGATTATTGTTCACACAACACGTGACTCTGGAATAACCTTCATCATGTACGCTTGAGACAAAAAGTTTAGAGCTGCTAAAAATATAAACCACTGGACAGCATCAAAATCAAAAGGGACTAATGAAAACAACCATTTAAAATCAACGTTGTCTGAGGGAGATGACCTTTAGCCTTTATCAGAATTACTCTATCAACGACAATATATAGTATTTGAGTCATTGCAATACTTAAGTCTAACATATAAAATAGCGAACAACTAAGCTTGACAAATTTCAATTCTGTTTTGGCAATTAAACAAATATGAGTATCCATATTTATCTATCATTTAGTACGACAGACGGTTGTACCTTTGGTGCTAGAAGATGCGACGGTTGCGATAGTCGTTGTCTCAGCCGTGGTACCGTTTGTCGGAATGACAGTTGTACCTGTGGTGCCGGTCACTGGTAAAGTTGTGGTGGATGTGACAGTTCTTTTGTCAGCAGTAGTACCAGTTGAACCTTCTGTGCTGGTCATTGGCGAGGTGGAAGTTGCAACGGTACCTGTCGTTGTCTCAGCTGGCGTGCCAGTAGTTTGAGAAACAGTTGTACCTTCGGTGCTTGACATGGTTATGCCAGTAGGCTGAGATACGGCTGAACCTTCTGTGCTAGTCACTGGCGAGGTGTTAGTTGCGATTGTGCCTGTGATTGTCTCAGCTGTTGTTCCAGTAGTCTGAGAGACAGTTCTACCTTCGGTGCTTGATACTGTTGTGACAGTAGTCTGAGAGATAGTTGTACCTTCCGTGATTGTCACTGGCGAGGTGGTAGTTCCCATTGTGCCAGTTGTTGTCTCAGCTGTAGTGCCAGTAGTTTGTGAGTCAATTGTATCTTCGGTGCTTGATACCGTTGTGCCAGTAGTCTGAGACACGGTTGTACCTTCGGTGCTGGTCACTGACGAGACGGTTGTTCCGACTGTGCCTGTTGTTGTCTCAGCCTTAGTTCCAGTAGTCTGTGAGGCAGTTGTACCTTCGGTGCCTAATACTGTTGTGCCAGTAGTCTGAGAAACGGTTTTATCTACTGTGCTGGTCATTGGTGATGCGGTAGTTACGACTATGCCTGTTGTTGTCTCAGCTGTAGTGTCAGTTGTTTGAGACACAGTTGTACCATCGGTGCTTGACACTGTTGTAAGAGTAGTTTGCGATACGGTTGAAGCTTCGGTGTTAGTCACTGGCGAGGTTGCTGTTGCAATTGTGCGACTCGTTGTTTCATCTCTTGTTCCAGTAGTTTGAGACACAGTTGAACCATCGGTGCTTGATCCTGTTGTACTAGTCGTTTGAGAGACACCTGTACCGTCGGTGATTGATACTGTTGTGCCAATAGTTTGAGAGACAGTTGTACCTTCGGTGCTTGTCACTTGCAATGTGGTAGTTGCGATTGTGCCAGTTGTTGTCTCAGCTGTAGTGCCAGTAGTCTGTGAGACAGTTGTACCTTCGGTGCTAGTCACTGATGAAGTGGTGGCGGCAGTGGCAGTCGTTGTTTCAGAGGTATTGCCTGTTGACTCAGAGACAGTTGTACTTTTGGTGCTAGTCACTGGCAAAGTTGTTACTTCCGTGACAGATGTTGTCTCAATGGTAATGCGAGCAGTTTGAGGGACGGTTGTACCTTCGGTGCTAGTCACTGTTGAAGTGGTGGCGTCAGTGACAGTGGTTGTTTCAGCGGTAGTGTCAGTAGTTCGAGAGACGGTTGTACCATCGGTGCTAGTCACTGGTGAAATGGTGGCGGCAGTGACAGTGGTTGTTTCAGCGGTAGTGTCGGTAGTTCGAGAGACGATTGTACCATCGGTGCTTCTCACTGGTGAAGTGATGCCGTCCGTGACAGTTGTCTCATTTGTTGTGCCGGTTGTTTGAGAGACGGTTGTACCATCGGTTGTTGTCTCGGGTGAAGTTTTGGCGACAGTGGCAGTTGTTCTTTTAGCGGTAGTGCCGGTTGTTTGAGACACAGTTGTACCATCGGTGTTTGACACTGTTGTACCAGTAGTTTGCGATACGGTTGAAGCTTGGGTGCTAGTCACTGGCGAGGTTGCTGTTGCAGTTGTGCCAGTCGTTGTCTCATCTGTTGTTCCAGTAGTTTGAGACACAGTTGTACCGTCGGTGCTTGATCCTGTTGTGCTAGTCGTTTGAGAGACACTTGTACTCTCGGTGCTGGGCACTTGCGAGGTGGTAGTTGCAAGTGTGCCTGTTGATGTCTCAGCTGTAGTGCCCGTAGATTGAGAAACAGTTGTACCTTCGGTGCTTGATACTGTTGTGCCAATAGTCTGAGAGACAGTTGTACCTTCGTTGCTTGTCACTGGCAATTTGGTAGTTGCGATTGTGCCAGTCGTTGTCTCAGCTGTAGTGCCAGTAGTCTGTGAGACAGTTGTACCGTCGGTGCTAGTCACTGATGAAGTGGTGGCGGCAGTGGCAGTCGTTGTTTCAGAGGTATTGCCTGTTGGCTCAGAGACAGTTGTACTTTTGGTGCTAGTCACTGGCAAAGTTGTTACTTCGGTGATAGATGTTGTCTCCATGGTAGTGCCAGCAGTTTGAGGGACGGTTGTACCTTCGGTGCTAGTCACTGATGAAGTTGTGGCGGCAGTGACAGTGGTTGTTTCAGCGGTAATGTCGGTAGTTCGAGAGACGGTTGTACCATCGGTGCTAGTCACTGGTGAAATGGTGGCGGCAGTGACAGTCGTTGACTCAGCGGTAGAGCCGGTAGTTTGAGAGACGGTTGTACCTTCGGTGCTTCTCACTGGCGAAGTGGTGCCGTCCGGGACAGTTGTCTCATTTGTTGTGCTGGTTGTTTGAGAGACGGTTGTACCATCGGTTGTTGTCACGGGTGAAGTTTTGGCGACAGTGACAGTTGTACTTTCAGCGGTAGTGCCGGTTGTTTGAGACACAGTTGTACCATCGGTGCCTGACACTGTTGTACCAGTAGTTTGCGATACGGTTGAAGCTTGGGTGCTAGTCACTGGCGAGGTTGCTGTTGCAGTTGTGCCAGTCGTTGTCTCATCTGTTCTTCCAGTAGTTTGAGACACAGTTGTACCTTCGGTGCTTGATCCTGTTGTGCTAGTCGTTTGAGAGACACTTGTTCTTTCGGTGCTGGTCACTTGCAAGGTGGTAGTTGCAAGTGTGCCTGTTGATGTCTCAGCTGTAGTGCCCGTAGATTGAGAAACAGTTGTACCTTCGGTGCTTGATACTGTTGTGCCAATAGTCTGAGAGACAGTTGTACCTTCGTTGCTTGTCACTGGCAATTTGGTAGTTGCGATTGTGCCAGTCGTTGTCTCAGCTGTAGTGCCAGTAGTCTGTGAGACAGTTGTACCGTCGGTGCTAGTCACTGATGAAGTGGTGGCGGCAGTGGCAGTCGTTTCAGAGGTATTGCCTGTTGGCTCAGAGACAGTTGTACGTTTGGTGCTAGTCACTGGCAAAGTTGTTACTTCGGTGACAGATGTTGTCTCCATGGTAGTGCCAGCAGTTTGAGGGACGGTTGTACCTTCGGTGCTAATCACTGGTGAAGTTATGGCGGCAGTGACAGTGGTTGTTTCAGCGGTAGTGTCGGTAGTTCGAGAGACGGTTGTACCATCGGTGCTAGTCACTGGTGAAATGGTGGCGGCAGTGACAGTCGTTGACTCAGCGGTAACGCCGGTAGTTTGAGAGACTGTTGTACCTTCGGTGCTTCTCACTGGTGAAGTGGTGCCGTCCGCGACAGTTGTCTCATTTGTAGTGCCGGTTGTTTGAGAGACGGTTGTACCATCGGTTGTTGTCACGGGTGAAGTTTTGGCGACAGTGACAGTTGTTCTTTCCGCGGTAGTGCCGGTTGTTTGAGACACAGTTGTACCATCGGTGCTTGACACTTTTGTACCAGTAGTTTGCGATACGGTTGAAGTTTCGGTGCTAGTCACTGGCGAGGTTGCTGTTGCAGTTGTGCCAGTCGTTGTCTCATCTGTTGTTCCAGTAGTTTGAGACACAGTTGTACCGTCGGTGCTTGATCCTGTTGTGCTAGTCGTTTGAGAGACAGTTGTACTTTCGGTGCTGGGCACTTGCGAGGAGGTAGTTCCAAGTGTGCCTGTTGATGTCTCAGCTGTAGTACCCCTAGATTGAGAAACAGTTGTACCTTCGGTGCTTGATACTGTTGTGCCAATAGTCTGAGAGACAGTTGTACCTTCGGTGCTTCTCACTGGTAATGTAATAGTTGCGATTGTGCCAGTCGTTGTCTCAGGTGTTTTTCTACTAGTCTGTGAGACAGTTGTACCGTCGGTCCTAGTCACTGGTGAAGAGGTGGCGGCAGTGACAGTTGTACCGTCGGTGCTTGCCACTGGCGAGGTGGTTGTTGCGACTGTGCCAGTCGTTGTCTCAGCTGTATAGACAGTAGTCTGAGAGGCAGTTGTATCATTGGTGCTCGTCACTGGCGAGGTGGTAGTTGCGACTGTGCCAGTAGTTATCTCAGTTATAGTGCCAGTACTTGTCTCAGTTATAGTGCCAGTAGTCTGTGAGACAGTTGTACCTTCGGTGCCTGATACTGTTGTGCCTGTAGTTTGAGACAAGATTGAACCGTCGGTGCTGGTCACTGGCGAGGTGGTAGCTTCGACTGTGCCTGTTGTTGTCTGAGCTGAAGTACCAGTTGTCTGTGAAACAGTTGTACCTTCGGTGCTTGACACTGTTGTTCTAGTAGTCTGAGAGACGGTTGAACCTTCGGTGCTGGTCAATGGTGATGTAGTAGTTGTGATTGTGCCAGTCGTTGTCTCAGCTGTAGTGCCAGTAGTCTGAGAGACAGTTGTACCTTCGATGCTCGTCACTGGCAAGGTGGTAGTTGCGACTGTGCCAGTCGTTGTCTCAGCTGTATTGACAGTAGTCTGAGAGACAGTTGTACCATTGGTGCTTGTCACTGGCGAGGTGGTAGTTGCGACTGTGCCAGTAGTTGTCTCAGTTATAGTGCCAGTAGTCTGTGAAACAGTTGTACCTTCGGTGCCCGATACTGTTGTGCCTGTACTCTGAGATACGGTTGAACCGTCGGTGCTGGTCACTGGCGAGGTGGTAGCTTCGACTGTGCCTGTTGTTGTCTGAGCTGAAATGCCAGTAGTCTGTAAAACAGTTGTACCTTCGGTGCTTGACACTGTTGTTCTAGTAATCTGAGAGACGGTTGAACCTTCGGTGCTGGTCAATGGCGATGTAATAGTTGCGATTGTGCCAGTCGTTGTCTCAGGTGTTTTTCTACTAGTCTGTGAGACAGTTGTACCTTCGGTCCTAGTCACTGGTGAAGAGGTGGCGGCAGTGACAGTTGTACCGTCGGTGCTTGCCACTGGCGAGGTGGTTGTTGCGACTGTGCCAGTCGTTGTCTCAGCTGTATTGACAGTAGTTTGAGAGACAGTTGTATCATTGGTGGTCGTCACTGGCGAGGTGGTAGTTGCGACTGTGCCAGTAGTTGTCTCAGTTATAGTGCCAGTAGTCTGTGAGACAGTTGTACCTTCGGTGCCTGATACTGTTGTGCCTGTATTCTGAGACACGGTTGAACCGTCAGTGCTGGTCACTGGCGAGGTGGTAGCTTCGACTGTGCCTGTTGTTGTCTGAGCTGATGTGCCAGTTGTCTGTGAAACAGTTGTACCTTCGGTGCTAGTCACTGGTGAAGAGGTGGCGGCAGTGACAGTTGTTGTTTCAGCGTTAATGCCGGTAGTTTGAGAGACGAGTGTACCTTCAGTACTAGTCACTGGTGAAGTTGTGGTGGCAGTGACAGTCGTTGTTACAGCGGTATTGTCGGCAGTTTTAGAGACGGTTGTACCATCGGTGCTGGTCACTGGTGAAGTGGTGGCAGCAGTGACATTCGTTGTTTCAGCAGAAGTGCCGGTAGTTTGAGAGACGGTTGTACCTTCGGTACTTGTCACTGGTGAAGTTGTGTTGTCCGTGACAGTTGTTGTCAAAGTTGTTGAGCCGGTTGTTTGAGCGATGGTTGTACCATCAGTGGTAGTCACTGGTGACGTTTTGGCGACAGTGACAGTCGTTGTTTCATCGGTAGTACCAGTAATTTGAGAGACCGTTGTACCTTTGATGCTAGTCACTGGTGAATTGGTGGCGGCAGTGACAGTTGTTGTTTCAGTGGTAGTGCCGGTTGTTTGAGAGACGGTTGTTCCTTCGGTGCTAGTCACTGGAGAATTGGTGGCGACAGGGACAGTCGTTGTGTCAGCGGTAGTAACGGTTGTTTGAGAAACAGATGTGCCTTTGCTGCTACTCCCTGGTGAATTTGTGGCGGCAGTGATATTCGTTGTTTCAGAGATAGATCCGGTTGTCTCAGAGACATTTTTATCTTTAGTACTAGTCTCTGGTGAAGTTGTGGCGGCAGTGATATTTGTTGTTTCAGAAGTAGAGCCGGTTGTCTCAGAGACATTTGTACCTTTGGTACTAGTCTCTGGCGAAGTTGTGGCGAGAATGACAGTCGTTGTTGAAGCGGCAGTACTGGTAGTTTGAGAAACGATTGTACCTTCGGTGTTAGTCACTGGTGAAGTGGTGGCGGCAGTGACCGTTGTTGTTTCAGTGTTAGATCCGGTAGTTTGAGAGACGATTGTACCTTCAGTGCTAGTCACTGGTAAAGTTGAGGCGACAGTGACAGTCGTTGTTACAGCGGTATTGCCGGTAGTTTGCGAAACGGTTGTACCTTCGGTTCTGGTCACTGGTGAAATGGTGGCAGCAGTGACAGTTGTTGTTTCAGCGGTAGTTCCGGTTGTTTGAGAGACGGTTGTTCCTTCGGTGCTAGTCACTGGTGAAGTGGTGGCGACAGGGACAGTCGTTGTGTCAGCGGTAGTACCGGTTGTTTGAGAGATAGTTGTGCCTTCGCTGCTACTCCCTGGTGAAGTTGTGGCGGCAGTGACATTTGTTGTTTCAGAGGTAGGGCCGGTTGTCTCAGAGACAGTTGTACTTTTGGTGATAGTCTCTGGCGAAGTTGTGGCGACAATGACAGTCGTTTTTTCAGCGGCAGTGCTGGTAGTTTGAGAGACGATTGTACCTTCGGTGTTAGTCACTGGTGAAGTGGTGGCGGCAGTTACAGTTGTTGTTTTAGCGGTAGTGTCGGGTGTCTGAGAGACGGTTGTACTTTCTGTATTTGTCACAGGCGAGGTTGAGGCAGCTGTGACAGATGTTCTGTCAGCAGTTGTTCCAGTTGTCTGCGTAATATTTGTGCCTTCGCTGCTAGTCACTGGTGAAGTTGTGGCGGTAGTGACAGTCGTTGTTTCAGCGGTAGTGTCGATAGTTTGAGAGACGGTTATACCTTTGTTGCTAGTCACCGGTGAATTGTTGGCGGCAGTGACAGTTGTTGTTTCAGCGGAAGTGTTGGGTGTACCTTCGGTATAAGTCACAGACGAGGTTGTGGCAGCTGTGACAGATGTTGTGTCAGGGGTAGTTTTGGTTGTCTGCGGTATAGTTGTGCCCACGCTGCTAGTCGTCTGAGAAGTTGTTGCGGTAGTGACAATTGCTGTTTTAGTGGTAGTGCCTGTCCACTCAGAGACAGTTGTATCTTTGTTGCTAGTCACTGGCGATGTTGTGGCGTCATTGACAGTTTCAGCTGGGGTGCTTGTATTTTGAGAGACGGTTGTACCTTCGGTGACAGTTGTTGTCTCAGCTATATTCATAATTAAATGTGACATTGATTAAATGATCATTTCTGAATATTGATTACCACTACTGAAGCTGAATGTTTTAAGTTTAGAAAAGTATATGGAAAAAAGTCAAGCCGAGTCAAAGATACCTCTATGTTCAGGACTCCAGAGTTGCGCCTACATAAGACTTATCAGTGGTGTTCAGGCTTGGGGTAATGTAAATGTACTCATTAATCAGCCGTTATACGTTACAATTTTTCAAGTAATCATAGTAATCATTAATCAGACTAAAATCTGATGACATGTTATTTAATCTAATCAATTACTTTCAAAGTACCTTGTAATCCTGATACGTTCTGATTGAAATTAAAAAAAATCTCAAATTGTGTTTATGGTCAATATAACGTGTCTTAAAAGAACATTTTTATTCTTCATATGTTATAAATATATAACTTGTTAAAACAGTTTTGTTTACTTTAAGCATGTTGAGATATTACGAAATATGGATATAAATGTAGTTTGATACCAACAAAATGTTCTTTTAATATTTTTTGCCCCACCTACGATAGTAGAGATTCATTGTGTTTTTCGGTCTGTGCGTCCGTTCGTTCGTCCGCTAGTCTGTCCCGCTTCAGGTAAAGGTTTTTGGTCAAAGTAGTTTTTGATGAAGTTTAAGTCCAATCAACTTGAAACTTAGTACACATGTTTCCTATGATATGATCTTTCTAATTCTAATGCAAAATTAGAGTTTTTACCCCAATTTCACGGTCCACTGAACATAGACAATGATAGTGCGATAATGATCCGTGTACTATGGACACATTCTTGTTTAACCTTCATTCATTAACATCATTCAAATGGATTATTTTGAAATTCTTTGTAATCAAATGTAATCAGAGTTACTTTCCAATGTAATCATTAATTTAATTAGTTACTTTGTGAAATTGTGTAATCTTTAATTTAATTTAATTGTACATTGACAAAGTAATTGTAATGTAACCAATAACATTGAAAGTAATCAGAATTTTAATTAAAGGACTCAGACTCTAAAAGACATCAATTGCATGCTTCATTATTGTTTTAACTGGTTTTGAACAGTTAAATGCCCTCTGAAAATAAAGGTTTGCCTAAACAATGCCCTGTCTAAAATTGAGAAGTTTTATAAGGAAGTATTTTTGGCTGTGTTCCTTGATAAAATTCCATCCATAGTACCTTTTATTGATCGTAAAATGACATCAAAAGGTGGCCAAAATACTGTCAAAGCAATATGGGCGGTTGAAAAACGATAACAAACATAAGCCAGTGGACTTTATACTGTAAACGTGGATATATTTTTTAGAGGGAGTTATTTTCTATATTTTTGTCATGCGTAAAATGCCGAAAATATATCCAGCGCGCGAATACCTTGTAAGAAGCATCAATATTGAAATGAGGGACGAAATTATGATTATTTAAGAATAGCTTTAGTTGCTTGTTCCTGAATCTTAATTGTCATTATGAAAATATATATTCTTAATGTATGTTGATTTCATTTCATTATATATACATATTTGTTTTTATTAATTTTGTTTCGATGCGCAAGGTTTATCCCGCGCGAAAATTGTATGCCTTGAAATCGTGGAAATAACATAATTCTTGCATGAAGATATATAACTAGTATCACACTGCACGGATTGTGATACGAAAAATGCATTAATTTGATTGGCTTATCCAGCATCATTAGACTATATTACGACATTTCCATTTGCTATTTGTTTGGTCTTTGATGCCTTTAAAAGGTTAAGATGATGAATATTTCGTCCATGACAACGGACATTTGTGAATTCTTTATTAACATACAAACCACTCACACATTTCATCTGAAAATCTTCTTTTTGTTAATTTTTATTACATTCTGAAGTGTACAAAAAGATTTAAATGTCTGATGTTTAATTTTGACGCCGGAACAGGATATATGACGTTATACTGGTATGCGCAAAAGACTAGCCAAAGATTTGCGGATTCTTTTATTGAACACATGAGAGTGTTGACCATACGAGCAATATGTTTAAAAACCCGTGAGAATTGAATATGGCTTGATATCAACTCTCGTAGTTTAATTTAAATAGACTAATAATTTATTATTAAATTGAAATAGAATAACTCGGGTTGATATAAATCGATATCCAATTCTAACTCAGTTTGATACCTATACTTATACAATTGACCCTTTCATTTTCGAGCGATATTGCACTTCTGTTATATCGGGAAATGTAAGCTTTCTAGTATGTGCGTACATGCATGCTCATGTGTATATTCTTTGCGAATTATTTTGATGTTATTAAAAAATCGACACAAAAAAGACCTTACCTGTTGTTCCGTCAGCTATCGTCGTTGAACCTATAAAAATCAGTTTTTCGTGTTAGTTTAAACAAGCATGAATCCATATTGAAGTGCAAATTCGTAAAAAATACGTATACGGCAAATGGTGTATAAGAATAACCCTACCATCGGGTTCCTGTCCAGAATCACATTTTAACAATTAGTCTCGGAAAAAACAATAATTATTTCTTGTTACTTTTTGCGGGTAATCGTAGCCAGTGCCTTCAAAGTTCTCTTTCTTTGTATTACTAGTTCAATTTAATCTCTCAACTGTTACACATTTGCATGAAAAATAAATTACATATCACTATCTTAAAGATAAATTTGAAAAAACATATGGAGAGCATTGCAATTCGGATTTTAAACTCACAGGAGAGCAAACAGACATATATATCGGATCAGGTTTTTTTTCAAACTGTTCACCGGAAATATTACGTTTGTACAAATTTCACAAATTATATTAGTTTATCAACTTTCAACTAACAAGTTCAGTCTTTTTTTTTTTCTTTGTTGTGTTTTGTGTACTGTTGTTTGTCTTTTCGTCGTTTTTCATTTTTTGCAATGACATTGTCAGCTGTTTTCGACTTATGAGTTAGAATATTCCTTTGGTATCTTTCGCCTTATACCATATCACTTTTTACTAAAGTCAATACCTAAAGATGAAATAACATAGACAGAAAAAACAATCTTTGAAGAAGCCCGATGTAGCGAACGCTTATTACAATATTGATTTAAATGCAAAAAACCATTATTTAGATTGCCTAACAAAGAACTTGGAATTCACAGCCAATTTGGACATCCCACTTCTACAATAACATCATTCACGAACGAGAAGATGTTTCAAATTACAAATCCGTCTTTCACGCCTTTGGTCTTAATATCTAACATCCAAAATAGGAAAAGAAAAAGCAGGGATCACTGGAAAGTTTAAAAATCAAAAGCTTTAAACAGAACAACCAAACCAAGCAAAAAAAAAAAAAAAACAAACGAAAAGAAAGTGAAAATTGGAGAATTTAAAAATAAAAAGCTGTAAATAGATGCCTGAGGTAGTTAGCACACCGATAATAGTTTAACAAACATGAGATTCACTGACAATATACTAGTATCTCTCTTTGAATTATCCAAAACCGAAACAGTATCTTTTGAGTGTATTGTATAGATAGTCCAACAGCAACGGTACCGACCCTGTGATATAGTTAACACAGCATACGATGGTTATTGTTCACACAACACGTGACTCTGGAATAACCTTCATTATGTACGCTTGAGACAAAAAGTTTAGAGCTGCTAAAAATATAAACCACTGGACAGCATCAAAATCAAAAGGGACTAATGAAAACAACCATTTAAAATCAACGTTGTCTGAGGGAGATGACCTTTAGCCTTTATCAGAATTACTAAATCAACGACAATATATAGTATTTGAGTCATTGCAATACTTAAGTCTAACATATAAAATAGCGAACAACTAAGCTTGACAAATTTCAATTCTGTTTTGGCAATTAAACAAATATGAGTATCCATATTTATCTATCATTTAGTACGACAGACGGTTGTACCTTTAGTGCTAGAAGATGCGACGGTTGCGATAGTCGTTGTTTCAGCCGTGGTACCGTTTGTCGGAATGACAGTTGTGTCGGTCACTGGTAAAGTTGTGGTGGATGTGACAGTTGTTTTGTCAGCAGTAGTACCAGTTGAATCTTCTGTGCTGGTCATTGGCGAGGTGGTAGTTGCAACTGTACCTGTCGTTGTCTCAACTGGCGTGCCAGTAGTTTGAGAAACAGTTGTACCTTCGGTGCTTGACATGGTTATGCCAGTAGGCTGAGACACGGCTGAACCTTCTGTGCTAGTCACTGGCGAGGTGGTAGTTGCGATTGTGCCGGTGATTGTCTCAGCTGTTGTTCCAGTAGTCTGAGAGACAGTTCTACCTTTGGTGCTTGATACTGTTGTGACAGTAGTCTGAGAGATAGTTGTACCTTCGGTGATTGTCACTGGCGAGGTGGTAGTTCCCATTGTGCCAGTTGTTGTCTCAGCTGTAGTGCCAGTAGTCTGTGAGTCAATTGTATCTTCGGTGCTTGATACCGTCGTGCCAGCAGTCTGAGACACGGTTGTACCTTCGGTGCTGGTCACTGACGAGACGGTTGTTCCGACTGTGCCTGTTGTTGTCTCAGCCTTAGTTCCAGTAGTCTGTGAGGCAGTTGTACCTTCGGTGCCTAATACTGTTGTGCCAGTAGTCTGAGAAACGGTTTTATCTACTGTGCTAGTCATTGGTGATGCGGTAGTTACGACTATGCCTGTTGTTGTCTCAGCTGTAGTGTCAGTTGTTTGAGACACAGTTGTACCATCGGTGCTTGACACTGTTGTACCAGTAGTTTGCGATACGGTTGAAGCTTCGGTGCTAGTCACTGGCGAGGTTGCTGTTGCAATTGTGCGACTCGTTGTTTCATCTGTTGTTCCAGTAGTTTGAGACACATTTGTACCATCGGTGCTTGATCCTGCTGTGCTGGTCGTTTGAGAGACAGCTGTACCGTCGGTGCTTGATCCTGTTGTGCTAGTCGTTTGAGAGACAGTTGTACCTTCGGTGCTTGATACTGTTGTGCCAATAGTCTGAGAGACAGTTGTACCTTCGGTGCTTGTCACTGGCAATGTGGTAGTTGCGATTGTGCCAGTCGTTGTCTCAGCTTTAGTGCCAGTAGTCTGTGAGACAGTTGTACCTTCGGTGCTAGTCACTGATGAAGTGGTGGCGGCAATGGCAGTCGTTGTTTCAGAGGTATTGCCTGTTGACTCAGAGACAGTTGTACTTTTGGTGCTAGTCACTGGCAAAGTTGTTACTTCCGTGACAGATGTTGTCTCAATGGTAGTGCTGGCAGTTTGAGGGACGGTTGTACCTTCGGTACTAATCATTGGTGAAGTGGTGGCGGCAGTGACAGTGGTTGTTTCAGCTGTAGTGCCAGTAGATTGAGAAACAGTTGTACCTTCGGTGCTTGATACTGTTGTGCCAATAGTCTGAGAGACAGTTGTACCTTCGGTGCTTGTCACTGGTAATGTAGTAGTTGCGATTGTGCCAGTCGTTGTCTTAGCTGTAGTACCAGTAGTCTGTGAGACAGTTGTACCTCCGGTGCTAGTCACTGGTGAAGTGGTGGCGGCAGTGACAGTTGTTCTTTCAGCGGTAGTGCCAGTTGTTTGAGACACAGTTGTACCATCGGTACTTGACACTGTTGTACCAGAAGTTTTCGATACGATTGAAGCTTCGGTGCTAGTCACTGGTGAGGTTGCTGATGCAATTGTGCCAGTCGTTGTCTCATCTGTTGGTCCAGTAGTTTGAGACACAGTTGTGCTGTCGGTGCTTGATTCTGTTGTGCTAGTCGTTTGAGAGACACTTGTACTTTCGGTGCTGGGCACTGTCGAGGTGGCAGTTGCAACTGTGCCTGTTGTTGTCTCAGCTGTAGTGCCAGTAGATTGAGAAACAGTTGTACCTTCGGTGCTTGATACTGTTGTGCCAATAGTCTGAGAGACAGTTGTACCTTCGGTGCTTGTCACTGGTAATGTGGTAGTTGCGATTGTGCCAGTCGTTGTCTCAGCTGTAGTACCAGTAGTCTGTGAGACAGTTGTACCTTCGGTGCTAGTCACTGGTGAAGTGGTGGCGCCAGTGACAGTGGTTCTTTCAGCGGTAGTGTCGGTAGTTCGAGAGACGGATGTACCATCGGTGCTAGTCACTGGTGAAATGGTGGTGGCAGAGACAGTCGTTGTCTCAGCGGTAACGCCGGTAGTTTGAGAGACGGTTGTACCTTCAGTGCTTATCACTGGTGAAGTGGTGCCGTCCGTGACAGTTGTCTCATTTGTTGTGCCGGTTGTTTGATAGACTACTGATGAAGTGGTGACGGCAGTGGAAGTCGTTGTTTCAGAGGTATTGCCTGTTGACTCAGAGACAGTTGTACTTTTGGTGCTAGTCACTGGCAAAGCTGTTACTTCCGTGACAGATGTTGTCTCAATGGTAGTGCCAGCAGTTTGAGGGACGGTTGTACCTTCGGTGCTAGTCACTGGTGAAGAGGTGGCGTCAGTGACAGTGGTTGTTTCAGCGGTAGTGTCGGTAGTTCGAGAGACGGTTGTATCATCGGTGCTGGTCACTGGCGAAATGGTGGCGACAGAGAAAGTCGTTGTCTCAGCGGTAGCGCCGGTAGTTTGAGAGACGGTTGTACCTTCGGTGCTTCTCACTGGTGAAGTGGTGCCGTCCGTGACAGTTGTCTCATTTGTTCTGCCGGTTGTTTGAGAGACGGTTGTTCCCCCGGTTGTTGTCACGGGTGAAGTTTTGGCGACAGTGAAAGTTGTTCTTTCAGCGGTAGTGTCGGTTGTTTGAGACACAGTTGTACCATCGGTGCTTGACACTGTTGTACCAGTAGTTTTCGATACGGTTGGACCTTCGGTGCTAGTCACTGGCGAGGTTGCTGTTGCAATTGTGCCAGTCGTTGTCTCATCTGTTGTTCCAGTAGTTTGAGACACAGTTGTTCTGTCGGTGCTTGATCCTGTTGTGCTAGTCGTTTGAGAGACAGTTGTACCTACGGTACTGGGCACTGTCGAGAAGGTAGTTGCAACTGTGCCTGTTGTTGTCTCAGCTGTAGTGCCAGTAGATTGAGAAACAGTTGTACCTTCGGTGCTTGATACTGTTGTGCCAATAGTCTGAGAGACAGTTGTACCTTCGGTGCTTGTCACTGGTAATGTGGTAGTTGCGATTGTGCCAGTCGTTGTCTCAGCTGTAGTACCAGTAGTCTGTGAGACAGTTGTACCTTCGGTGCTATTCACTGGTGAAGTGGTGGCGCCAGTGACAGTGGTTCTTTCAGCGGTAGTGTCGGTAGTTCGAGAGACGGTTGTACCATCGGTGCTAGTCACTGGTGAAATGGTGGTGGCAGAGACAGTCGTTGTCTCAGCGGTAACGCCGGTAGTTTGAGAGACGGTTGTACCTTCAGTGCTTATCACTGGTGAAGTGGTGCCGTCCGTGACAGTTGTCTCATTTGTTGTGCCGGTTGTTTGATAGACTACTGATGAAGTGGTGACGGCAGTGGAAGTCGTTGTTTCAGAGGTATTGCCTGTTGACTCAGAGACAGTTGTACTTTTGGTGCTAGTCACTGGCAAAGCTGTTACTTCCGTGACAGATGTTGTCTCAATGGTAGTGCCAGCAGTTTGAGGGACGGTTGTACCTTCGGTGCTAGTCACTGGTGAAGAGGTGGCGTCAGTGACAGTGGTTGTTTCAGCGGTAGTGTCGGTAGTTCGAGAGACGGTTGTATCATCGGTGCTGGTCACTGGCGAAATGGTGGCGACAGAGAAAGTCGTTGTCTCAGCGGTAGCGCCGGTAGTTTGAGAGAAGGTTGTACCTTCGGTGCTTCTCACTGGTGAAGTGGTGCCGTCCGTGACAGTTGTCTCATTTGTTCTGCCGGTTGTTTGAGAGACGGTTGTTCCCCCGGTTGTTGTCACGGGTGAAGTTTTGGCGACAGTGAAAGTTGTTCTTTCAGCGGTAGTGTCGGTTGTTTGAGACACAGTTGTACCATCGGTGCTTGACACTGTTGTACCAGTAGTTTTCGATACGGTTGGACCTTCGGTGCTAGTCACTGGCGAGGTTGCTGTTGCAATTGTGCCAGTCGTTGTCTCATCTGTTGTTCCAGTAGTTTGAGACACAGTTGTTCTGTCGGTGCTTGATCCTGTTGTGCTAGTCGTTTGAGAGACAGTTGTACCTACGGTACTGGGCACTGTCGAGAAGGTAGTTGCAACTGTGCCTGTTGTTGTCTCAGCTGTAGTGCCAGTAGATTGAGAAACAGTTGTACCTTCGGTGCTTGATACTGTTGTGCCAATAGTCTGAGAGACAGTTGTACCTTCGGTGTTTGTCACTGGTAATGTGGTAGTTGCGATTGTGCCAGTCGTTGTCTCAGCTGTAGTACCAGTAGTCTGTGAGACAGTTGTACCTTCGGTGCTAGTCACTGGTGAAGTGGTGGCGGCAGTGACAGTGGTTGTTTCAGTGGTAGTGTCGGTAGTTCGAGAGACGGTTGTACCATCGGTGCTAGTCACTGCTGAAATTGTGGTGGCAGAGACAGTCGTTGTCTCAGCGGTAGCGCCGGTAGTTTGAGAGACGGTTGTACCTTCGGTGCTTCTCACTGGTGAAGTGGTGCCGTCCGTGACAGTTGTCCTATTTGTTGTGCCGGTTGTTTGGGAGACGGTTGTACCATCGGTTGTTGTCAAGGGTGAAGTTTTGGCGACAGTGACAGTTGTTCTTTCAGCGGTAGTGTCGGTTGTTTGAGACACAGTTGTACCATCGGTACTTGACACTGTTGTACCAGAAGTTTTCGATACGGTTGAAGCTTCGGTGCTAGTCACTGGTGAGGTTGCTGATGCAATTGTGCCAGTCGTTGTCTCATCTGTTGGTCCAGTAGTTTGAGACACAGTTGTACTGTCGGTGCTTGATTCTGTTGTGCTAGTCGTTTGAGAGACACTTGTACTTTCGGTGCTGGGCACTGTCGAGGTGGCAGTTGCAACTGTGCCTGTTGTTGTCTCAGCTGTAGTGCCAGTAGATTGAGAAACAGTTGTACCTTCGGTGCTTGATACTGTTGTGCCAATAGTCTGAGAGACAGTTGTACCTTCGGTGCTTGTCACTGGTAATGTGGTAGTTGCGATTGTGCCAGTCGTTGTCTCAGCTGTAGTACCAGTAGTCTGTGAGACAGTTGTACCTTCGGTGCTAGTCACTGGTGAAGTGGTGGCGCCAGTGACAGTGGTTGTTTCAGCGGTAGTGTCGGTAGTTCGAGAGACGGTTGTACCATCGGTGCTAGTCACTGGTGAAATGGTGGTGGCAGAGACAGTCGTTGTCTCAGCGGTAGCGCCGGTAGTTTGAGAGACGGTTGTACCTTCAGTGCTTATCACTGGTGAAGTGGTGCCGTCCGTGACAGTTGTCTCATTTGTTGTGCCGGTTGTTTGATAGACTACTGATGAAGTGGTGACGGCAGTGGAAGTCGTTGTTTCAGAGGTATTGCCTGTTGACTCAGAGACAGTTGTACTTTTGGTGCTAGTCACTAGCAAAGCTGTTACTTCCGTGACAGATGTTGTCTCAATGGTAGTGCCAGCAGTTTGAGGGACGGTTGTACCTTCGGTGTTAGTCACTGGTGAAGAGGTGGTGTCAGTGACAGTGGTTGTTTCAGCGGTAGTGTCGGTAGTTCGAGAGACGGTTGTATCATCGGTGCTGGTCACTGGCGAAATGGTGGCGACAGAGACAGTCGTTGTCTCAGCGGTAGCGCCGGTAGTTTGAGAGACGGTTGTACCTTCGGTGCTTCTCACTGGTGAAGTGGTGCTGTCCGTGACAGTTGTCTCATTTCTTGTGCCGGTTGTTTGAGAGACGGTTGTTCCCCCGGTTGTTGTCACGGGTGAAGTTTTGGCGACAGTGGAAGTTGTTCTTTCAGCGGTAGTGTCGGTTGTTTGAGACACAGTTGTACCATCGGTGCTTGACACTGTTGTACCAGTAGTTTTCGATACGGTTGAAGCTTCGGTGCTAGTCACTGGCGAGGTTGCTGTTGCAATTGTGCCAGTCGTTGTCTCATCTGTTGTTCCAGTAGTTTGAGACTCAGTTGTTCTGTCGGTGCTTGATTCTGTTGTGCTAGTCGTTTGAGAGACAATTGTACCTACGGTGCTGGGCACTGTCGAGGTGGTAGTTGCAACTGTGCCTGTGGTTGTGTCAGCTTTAGTGCCAGTAGATTGAGAAACAGTTGTACCTTCGGTGCTTGATACTGTTGTGCCAATAGTCTGAGAGACAGTTGTACCTTCGGTGTTTGTCACTGGTAATGTGGTAGTTGCGATTGTGCCAGTCGTTGTCTCAGCTGTAGTACCAGTAGTCTGTGAGACAGTTGTACCTTCGGTGCTAGTCACTGGTGAAGTGGTGGCGGTAGTGACAGTGGTTGTTTCAGCGGTAGTGTCGGTAGTTCGAGAGACGGTTGTACCATCGGTGCTAGTCACTGGTGAAATTGTGGTGGCAGAGACAGTCGTTGTCTCAGCGGTAGCGCCGGTAGTTTGAGAGACGGTTGTACCTTCGGTGCTTCTGACTGGTGTAGTGGTGCCGTCCGTGACAGTTGTCCCATTTGTTGTGCCGGTTGTTTGGGAGACGGTTGTACCATCGGTTGTTGTCAAGGGTGAAGTTTTGGCGACAGTGACAGTTGTTCTTTCAGCGGTAGTGCCAGTTGTTTGAGACACAGTTGTACCATCGGTGCTTGACACTGTTGTACCAGTAGTTTGCGATACGGTTGAAGCTTCGGTGCTAGTCACTGGCAAGGTTGCTGTTGCAATTGTGCCAGTCGTCGTCTCATCTGTTGTTCCAGTTGTTTGAGACACAGTTGTACCGTCGGTGCTTGATCCTGTTGTGCTAGTCGTTTGAGAGACAGCTGTACCTTTGGTGCTGGGCACTGTCGAGGTGGTAGTTGCAACTGTGCCTGTTGTTGTCTCAGCTGTAGTGCTAGTAGATTGAGAAACAGTTGTACCTCCGGTGCTTGATACTGTTTTGCCAATAGTCTGAGAGACAGTTGTACCTTCGGTGCTTGTCACTGACAATGTGGTAGTTGCGATTGTGCCAGGCGTTGTCTCAGCTGTAGTGACAGTTGTCTGTGAGACAGTAGTACCTTCGGTGCTAGTCACTGGTGAAGTGGTGGTGGCAGTGGCAGTCGTTGTTTCAGAGGTACTGCCTGTTGACTCAGAGACAGTTGTACTTTCGGTGCTAGTCACTGGCAAAGCTGTTACTTCCGTGACAGATGATGTCTCAATGGTAGTGCCAGCAGTTTGAGGGACGGTTGTACCTTCGGTGCTAGTCACTGGTGAAGTGTTGGCGTCAGTGACAGTGGTTGTTTCAGCGGTAGGGTCGGTAGTTCGAGAGACGGTTGTATGATCGGTGCTAGTCACTGGTGAAATGGTGGCGGCAGAGACAGTCGTTGTCTCAGCGGTAGCGCCGGTAGTTTGAGAGACGGTTGTACCTTCGGTGCTTCTCACTGGTGAAGTGGTGCCGTCCGTGACAGTTGTCTCATTTGTTGTGCCGGTTGTTTGAGAGACGGTTGTACCCCCGGTTGTTGTTACGGGTGAAGTTTTGGCGACAGTGACAGTTGTTCTTTCAGCGGTAGTGTCGGTTGTTTGAGACACAGTTGTACCATCGGTACTTGACACTGTTGTACCAGAAGTTTTCGATACGGTTGTACCTTCGGTCCTAGTCAATGGCAAGGTTGCTGTTGCAATTGTGCCAGTCGTCGTCTCATCTGTTGTTCCAGTTGTTTGAGACACAGTTGTACCGTCGGTGCTTGATCCTGTTGTGCTAGTCGTTTGAGAGACAGCTGTACCTTTGGTGCTGGGCACTGTCGAGGTGGTAGTTGCAACTGTGCCTGTTGTTGTCTCAGCTGTAGTGCTAGTAGATTGAGAAACAGTTGTACCTCCGGTGCTTGATACTGTTTTGCCAATAGTCTGAGAGACAGTTGTACCTTCGGTGCTTGTCACTGGTAATGTGGTAGTTGCGGTTGTGCCAGTCGTTGTCTCAGCTGTAGTACCAGTAGTCTGTGAGACAGTAGTACCTTCGGTGCTAGTCACTGGTGAAGTGGTGGTGGCAGTGGCAGTCGTTGTTTCAGAGGTACTGCCTGTTGACTCAGAGACAGTTGTACTTTCGGTGCTAGTCACTGGCAAAGCTGTTACTTCCGTGACAGATGATGTCTCAATGGTAGTGCCAGCAGTTTGAGGGACGGTTGTACCTTCGGTGCTAGTCACTGGTGAAGTGTTGGCGTCAGTGACAGTGGTTGTTTCAGCGGTAGGGTCGGTAGTTCGAGAGACGGTTGTATGATCGGTGCTAGTCACTGGTGAAATGGTGGCGGCAGAGACAATCGTTGTCTCAGCGGTAGCGCCGGTAGTTTGAGAGACGGTTGTACCTTCGGTGCTTCTCACTGGTGAAGTGGTGCCGTCCGTGACAGTTGTCTCATTTGTTGTGCCGGTTGTTTGAGAGACGGTTGTACCCCCGGTTGTTGTTACGGGTGAAGTTTTGGCGACAGTAACAGTTGTTCTTTCAGCGGTAGTGTCGGTTGTTTGAGACACAGTTGTACCATCGGTACTTGACACTGTTGTACCAGTAGTTTGCGATACGGTTGAAGCTTCGGTGCTAGTCACTGGCAAGGTTGCTGTTGCAATTTTGCCAGTCGTCGTCTCATCTGTTGTTCCAGTTGTTTGAGACACAGTTGTACCGTCGGTGCTTGATCCTGTTGTGCTAGTCGTTTGAGAGACAGCTGTACCTTTGGTGCTGGGCACTGTCGAGGTGGTAGTTGCAACTGTGCCTGTTGTTGTCTCAGCTGTAGTGCTAGTAGATTGAGAAACAGTTGTACCTCCGGTGCTTGATACTGTTTTGCCAATAGTCTGAGAGACAGTTGTACCTTCGGTGCTTGTCACTGACAATGTGGTAGTTGCGATTGTGCCAGGCGTTGTCTCAGCTGTAGTGACAGTTGTCTGTGAGACAGTAGTACCTTCGGTGCTAGTCACTGGTGAAGTGGTGGTGGCAGTGGCAGTCGTTGTTTCAGAGGTACTGCCTGTTGACTCAGAGACAGTTGTACTTTCGGTGCTAGTCACTGGCAAAGCTGTTACTTCCGTGACAGATGATGTCTCAATGGTAGTGCCAGCAGTTTGAGGGACGGTTGTACCTTCGGTGCTAGTCACTGGTGAAGTGTTGGCGTCAGTGACAGTGGTTGTTTCAGCGGTAGGGTCGGTAGTTCGAGAGACGGTTGTATGATCGGTGCTAGTCACTGGTGAAATTATGGTGGCAGAGATAGTCGTTGTCTCAGCGGTAGCGCCGGTAGTTTGAGAGACGGTTGTACCTTCGGTGCTTCTCACTGGTGAAGTGGTGCCGTCCGTGACAGTTGTCTCATTTGTTGTGCCGGTTGTTTGAGAGACGGTTGTACCCCCGGTTGTTGTTACGGGTGAAGTTTTAGCGACAGTGACAGTTGTTCTTTCAGCGGTAGTGTCGGTTGTTTGAGACACAGTTGTACCATCGGTACTTGACACTGTTGTACCAGAAGTTTTCGATACGGTTGTACCTTCGGTGCTAGTCACTGGTGAGGTTGCTGATGCAACTGTGCCAGTCGTTGTCTCATCTGTTGGTCCAGTAGTTTGAGACACAGTTGTACTGTCGGTGCTTGATTCTGTTGTGCTAGTCGTTTGAGAGACACTTGTACTTTCGGTGCTGGGCACTGTCGAGGTGGCAGTTGCAACTGTGCCTGTTGTTGTCTCAGCTGTAGTGCCAGTAGATTGAAAAACAGTTGTACCTTCGGTGCTTGATACTGTTGTGCCAATAGTCTGAGAGACAGTTGTACCTTCGGTGCTTGTCACTGGTAATGTGGTAGTTGCGGTTGTGCCATTCGTTGTCTCAGCTGTAGTACCAGTAGTCTGTGAGACAGTTGTACCTTCGGTGCTAGTCACTGGTGAAGTGGTGGCGGCAGTGACAGTGGTTGTTTCAGCGGTAGTGTCGGTAGTTCGAGAGACGGTTGTACCATCGGTGCTAGTCACTGGTGAAATGGTGGTGGCAGGGACAGTCGTTGTCTCAGCGGTAGCGCCGGTAGTTTGAGAGACGGTTGTACCTTCGGTGCTTATCACTGGTGAAGTGGTGCCGTCCGTGACAGTTGTCTCATTTGTTGTGCCGGTTGTTTGAGAGACTACTGATGAAGTGGTGGCGGCAGTGGAAGTCGTTGTTTCAGAGGTATTGCCTGTTGACTCAGAGACAGTTGTACTTTTGGTGCTAGTCACTGGCAAAGCTGTTACTTCCGTGACAGATGTTGTCTCAATGGTAGTGCCAGCAGTTTGAGGGACGGTTGTACCTTCGGTGCTAGTCACTGGTGAAGAGGTGGCGTCAGTGACAGTGGTTGTTTCAGTGTTAGTGTCGGTAGTTCGAGAGACGGTTGTATCATCGGTGCTGGTCACTGGCGAAATGGTGGCGACAGAGACAGTCGTTGTCTCAGCGGTAGCGCCGGTAGTTTGAGAGACGGTTGTACCTTCGGTGCTTCTCACTAGTGAAGTGGTGCCGTCCGTGACAGTTGTCTCATTTGTTGTGCCGGTTGTTTGAGAGACGGTTGTACCCCCGGTTGTTGTCACGGGTGAAGTTTTGGCGACAGTGAAAGTTGTTCTTTCAGCGGTAGTGTCGGTTGTTTGAGACACAGTTGTACCATCGGTGCTTGACACTGTTGTACCAGAAGTTTTCGATACGGTTGAAGCTTCGGTGCTAGTCACTGGCGAGGTTGCTGTTGTAATTGTGCCAGTCGTTGTCTCATCTGTTGTTCCAGTAGTTTTAGACACAGTTGTACTGTCGGTGCTTGATTCTGTTGTGCTAGTCGTTTGAGAGACAGTTGTACCTACGGTGCTGGGCACTGTCGAGGTGGTAGTTGCAACTGTGCCTGTTGTTGTCTCAGCTGTAGTGCCAGTAGATTGAGAAACAGTTGTACCTTCGGTGCTTGATACTGTTGTGCCAATAGTCTGAGAGACAGTTGTACCTTCGGTGTTTGTCACTGTTAATGTGGTAGTTGCGATTGTGCCAGTCGTTGTCTCAGCTGTAGTACCAGTAGTCTGTGAGACAGTTGTACCTTCGGTGCTAGTCACTGGTGAAGTGGTGGCGGCAGTGACAGTGGTTGTTTCAGCGGTAGTGTCGGTAGTTCGAGAGACGATTGTACCTTCGATGCTAGTCACTGGTGAAATTATGGTGGCAGAGATAGTCGTTGTCTCAGCGGTAGCGCCGGTAGTTTGAGAGACGGTTGTACCTTCGGTGCTTCTCACTGGTGAAGTGGTGCCGTCCGTGACAGTTGTCTCATTTGTTGTGCCGGTTGTTTGAGAGACGTTTGTACCCCCGGTTGTTGTTACGGGTGAAGTTTTAGCGACAGTGACAGTTGTTCTTTCAGCGGTAGTGTCGGTTGTTCGAGACACAGTTGTACCATCGGTACTTGACACTGTTGTACCAGAAGTTTTCGATACGGTTGTACCTTCGGTGCTAGTCACTGGTGAGGTTGCTGATGCAACTGTGCCAGTCGTTGTCTCATCTGTTGGTCCAGTAGTTTGAGACACAGTTGTACTGTCGGTGGTTGTCACTGTTAATGTGGTAGTTGCGATTGTGCCAGTCGTTGTCTCAGCTGTAGTACCAGTAGTCTGTGAGACAGTTGTATCTTCGGTGCTAGTCACTGGTGAAGTGGTGGCGGCAGTGACAGTGGTTGTTTCAGCGGTAGGGTCGGTAGTTCGAGAGACGGTTATATGATCGGTGCTAGTCACTGGTGAAATGGTGGCGGCAGAGACAGTCGTTGTCTCAGCGGTAGCGCCGGTAGTTTGAGAGACGGTTGTACCTTCGGTGCTTCTCACTGGTGAAGTGGTGCCGTCCGTGACAGTTGTCTCATTTGTTGTGCCGGTTGTTTGAGAGACGGTTGTACCCCCGGTTGTTGTTACGGGTGAAGTTTTGGCGACAGTGACAGTTGTTCTTTCAGCGGTAGTGTCGGTTGTTTGAGACACAGTTGTACCATCGGTACTTGACACTGTTGTACCAGAAGTTTTCGATACGGTTGTACCTTCGGTGCTAGTCACTGGTGAGGTTGCTGATGCAATTGTGCCAGTCGTTGTCTCATCTGTTGGTCCAGTAGGTTGAGACACAGTTGTACTGTCGGTGCTTGATTCTGTTGTGCTAGTCGTTTGAGAGACACTTGTACTTTCGGTGCTGGGCACTGTCGAGGTGGCAGTTGCAACTGTGCCTGTTGTTGTCTCAGCTGTAGTGCCAGTAGATTGAAAAACAGTTGTATCTTCGGTGCTTGATACTGTTGTGCCAATAGTCTGAGAGACAGTTGTACCTTCGGTGCTTGTCACTGGTAATGTGGTAGTTGCGATTGTGCCAGTCGTTGTCTCAGCTGTAGTACCAGTAGTCTGTGAGACAGTTGTACCTTCGGTGCTAGTCACTGGTGAAATGGTGGCGGCAGTGACAGTGGTTGTTTCAGCGGTAGTGTCGGTAGTTCGAGAGACGGTTGTACCATCGGTGCTAGTCACTGGTGAAATGGTGGTGGCAGAGACAGTCGTTGTCTCAGCGGTAGCGCCGGTAGTTTGAGAGACGGTTGTACCTTCGGTGCTTCTCACTGGTGAAGTGGTGCCGTCTGTGACAGTTGTCCCATTTGTTGTGCCGGTTGTTTGGGAGACGGTTGTTCCATCGGTTGTTGTCACGGGTGAAGTTTTGGCGACAGTGACAGTTGTTCTTTCAGCGGTAGTACCGGTGGTTTGAGACACAGTTGTACCATCGGTGATTGACACTGTTGTACCAGTAGTTTGCGATACGGTTGAAGCTTTGGTGCTAGTCACTGGCGAGGTTGCTGTTACAATTGTGCCAGTCGTTGTCTCATCTGTTGTTCCAGGAGTTTGAGACACAGTTGTACCATCGGTGCTTGATCCTGTTGTGCTAGTCGTTTGAGGGACAGTTGTACCTTCGGTGCTGGGCACTGTCGGGGTGGTAGTTGCAACTGTGCCTGTTGTTGTCTCAGCTGTTTTGCCAGTAGTTTGAGAAACAGTTGTACCTTCGGTGCTTGGCACTATTGTGACTGTACTCTGAGAGACGGTAGAACCGTCGGTGCTGGTCACTGGCGAGGTGGTAGTTGCGACTGTGCCAGTGGTTGTCTCAGCTGTTGTTCCAGTAGTCTGTGAGACAGTCGTACTTTCGGTGCTTGATACTGTTGTGCCGGTAGTCTGAGATACGGTTGTACCTTCGGTGCTGGTCACTGGCGAGGTGGAAGTTGTGATTGTGCCTGTCGTTGTCTCAGCTGTTGTTCCTGTAGTCAGTGAGACAGTTGTACCTTGAGTGCTTGATACTGTTGTGTCAGAAGTCTGAGAAACGGTTGTTCCGTCGGTGCTTCTCACTGGTGAAGTGGTGCCGTCTGTGACAGTTGTCCCATTTGTTGTGCCGGTTGTTTGGGAGACGGTTGTTCCATCGGTTGTTGTCACGGGTGAAGTTTTGGCGACAGTGACAGTTGTTCTTTCAGCGGTAGTACCGGTGGTTTGAGACACAGTTGTACCATCGGTGATTGACACTGTTGTACCAGTAGTTTGCGATACGGTTGAAGCTTTGGTGCTAGTCACTGGCGAGGTTGCTGTTACAATTGTGCCAGTCGTTGTCTCATCTGTTGTTCCAGGAGTTTGAGACACAGTTGTACCATCGGTGCTTGATCCTGTTGTGCTAGTCGTTTGAGGGACAGTTGTACCTTCGGTGCTGGGCACTGTCGGGGTGGTAGTTGCAACTGTGCCTGTTGTTGTCTCAGCTGTTTTGCCAGTAGTTTGAGAAACAGTTGTACCTTCGGTGCTTGGCACTATTGTGACTGTACTCTGAGAGACGGTAGAACCGTCGGTGCTGGTCACTGGCGAGGTGGTAGTTGCGACTGTGCCAGTGGTTGTCTCAGCTGTTGTTCCAGTAGACTGTGAGACAGTCGTACTTTCGGTGCTTGATACTGTTGTGCCGGTAGTCTGAGATACGGTTGTACCTTCGGTGCTGGTCACTGGCGAGGTGGAAGTTGTGATTGTGCCTGTCGTTGTCTCAGCTGTTGTTCCTGTAGTCAGTGAGACAGTTGTACCTTGAGTGCTTGATACTGTTGTGTCAGAAGTCTGAGAAACGGTTGTTCCTTCGGTGCTTCTCACTGGTGAAGTGGTGCCGTCTGTGACAGTTGTCCCATTTGTTGTGCCGGTTGTTTGGGAGACGGTTGTTCCATCGGTTGTTGTCACGGGTGAAGTTTTGGCGACAGTGACAGTTGTTCTTTCAGCGGTAGTACCGGTGGTTTGAGACACAGTTGTACCATCGGTGATTGACACTGTTGTACCAGTAGTTTGCGATACGGTTGAAGCTTTGGTGCTAGTCACTGGCAAGGTTGCTGTTACAATTGTGCCAGTCGTTGTCTCATCTGTTGTTCCAGGAGTTTGAGACACAGTTGTACCATCGGTGCTTGATCCTGTTGTGCTAGTCGTTTGAGGGACAGTTGTACCTTCGGTGCTGGGCACTGTCGGGGTGGTAGTTGCAACTGTGCCTGTTGTTGTCTCAGCTGTTGTGCCAGTAGTTTGAGAAACAGTTGTACCTTCGATGCTTGGCACTGTTGTGACTGTACTCTGAGAGACGGTAGAACCGTCGGTGCTGGTCACTGGCGAGGTGGTAGTTGCGACTGTGCCAGTGGTTGTCTCAGCTGTTGTTCCAGTAGTCTGTGAGACAGTCGTACTTTCGGTGCTTGATACTGTTGTGCCGGTAGTCTGAGATACGGTTGTACCTTCGGTGCTGGTCACTGGCGAGGTGGAAGTTGTGATTGTGCCTGTCGTTGTCTCAGCTGTTGTTCCTGTAGTCAGTGAGACAGTTGTACCTTGAGTGCTTGATACTGTTGTGTCAGTAGTCTGAGAAACGGTTGTTCCTTCGGTGCTGGTCACTGGCGAGGTTGTTGTTGCGATTATGCCCGTCGTTTTCTCAGCTGTTGTTCCAGTAGTCTGTGAGACAGTTGTATCTTCGGTGCTAGTCACTGTTGAGGTTGTGGCGGCCGTGACAGTAGTGATTTCAGCTGTAGTGCCGGTTGTGTGAGAGGCCGTTGTACCTTCTGGTGTCGTCTTTTGAGAGGGCGTTGTGTTATAAATATTAGTAGACATCTGAGCTGTAGTACGAAAATTAAAAATGTTGTGTTCCTTTTTTTTTTTTACAGTTTTTAAGTTTTTCAGGTATATGGAGGTATATTTATGAATGTGTTTATAGCATAGATACAGGGTAAATATATATGATTAAATTTACGATCAATGAAATGTCAGTTCCGTTGTATCCATTGTCACTGTTCATACTTAAAGTGTTGAGTTTAGACAAATATATGAGACAAGACAGTCTTTATTCGTCAGTAACAATAATTTAATTGTTTAAAGATTAGATTTTGTTTTAAGGATGTTGTTAAGAACTCGGAAATATCTTTAATGTTGTTTGCGAACCATAATCACCACTGGTCGTTTTATTACATTTTAAGGTTTTTGTTAAATTTGTAATTTGTTATCTTTGACCAGAAAAATATTTTTGTTGAATTCAAACGTTTGATCTAGTAAATTGAAGGATTCGCTGGGGTTTTTTTTCATATTGGTTGGTAAATTTTATTTCTTTTAAACAAATAATAATAAAAAGTTATTCAAAAGAAGTTTCTTTTTTTTTTTTACTATATATTATCGCATTCCTTCAGCCTTACTTGTATTGAAAAACTCTATTATCATTTTAACAACAGTATCTTTTTTGAAAACAACTATTTTAGATGGTTAAATACAAAACAAATAAAACACACAAGTAATGAAACAAAACAAAAAAACAATAAGAAACGAGAAAAAAACCTCCAGAATTCGATGCACATAATTGAACATTAATTGTTTATTGAAATAATTGTCACACAATTGGTAGATGTTATTTTTTATGATGCAAAATGTAAACAAATGAATCTGATTTTCCATGAAAATATAAATCATTTTACTCAACATTTTTGGTTTGTTTTACAAAAATTGTTTGCATTATCTTTTGACTGGAGGTGATAGATGATATATACTATTAAAAAAGGGTATGGAACTTAATTATTAATGCATAGCTTTTTTGCAGTGTAAGTCAATGTTAATCAGATTTTTGCGTGCAAAACTAAATTTTAACATCAAAGGCATCCTTGTGCAGTATTAGAATCATGCTTATCGTTTTTTAATCCGAAAGGCAGGCTGCTTGAAACTTCCAGGATATAAGATATTATAATGAACCATCTCATAGCAAAATGATTTACAAATAGTGTATATGTAAATGCTCTCACTTAAATAATGCTGCCTATAGACAAAGCCATTACTTTTTTTAAATCGCTTAAAACATCATATATACGCATTATAATTTATATGTTATAACAGTCCAACTTAATCTTACCCTAATGATGAAAACAAACGCGTTAAAAAATAAAAAAGCTACTTCCTGATATTATAAGGAGGAGCTGAATGATGGAAATTTCCAATGTATGATATCGTTAATAATTTTGCTTTTTTTTAGATTTAAGAATGCCTGATGATGATGGGAGTTTTTAACGACCTTGACTGGCTATACAGCCCTCGCATGGTCGGCTTAAGAATGCCATTCCACTTTTCCTTGTTTTCTTTCGCATGCTATAGCCAATTTGTTGTATGTTGCTCAGTTGTTTTCGCTAGAATGTGTTTATGGTGAATTTTCATGCAAATCTGCACTAAATTCTTGCTGAAATCTCATTTTAATTGTCAAACCGACAGTAGGTTGAAAACTAGTATATGTCATGATTATTGTGTTTAGTGTTGTAAGATATAAACCAGCGATATGATTAGAGCCATTTGATTATCATCCAATCGCTACAAAATGACAAGAATGTGATTTATAAATACCAACATATAATTGTGCGCACTTACAAGAATGGTTTAGCAAACACAATGTCTCGTTTGGTTTTAGGAAGGAAAGTACAAAGAAGTGCATGAAGACAAAACACGTGATCTCAAAGAATGCAAATTTGAAGTCAACCTTGATAATGACCTGATAATTTTCAGTTTCAGATTAAGTCTACACTGATTCTATTGATATTACCAATGAGTATAGATGATTACTTAATGAATTTCTTTTACGAATTCATCTTCAGAGAAACATTGTGGTTGCTGGAATATTCTGGTCATTCCACATAATCATATCCGCTACCTTCAAAATATATGTGATACCCCTATCTCATCCTCGTCCTTTTCGCTGCGATTAAATGATAAATATAGTTAATATAATTATCCAGGTAACTAGAATTTATTTATAATTTACAGGTTTTTTTTTTCTTCACAGTAATCATGCAATTTACAAATATTCGACCAAAACTGACCGTCTGTTCGACGATTAGAATGATTTGTCAGCAAGAATTTCGTACAGATTTGCAATTTACAAATATTCGACCAAAACTGACCGTCTGTTTGACGATTAGAATGACTTGTCAGCAAGAATTTCGTACAGATTTGTACAATACTACACTCGGATAAAAGTTTTAACATTTTGGTCCTATATAATAATGTTTACGATCTACACATAAAAGAAAAAAGACCATACCTGTGATTGTTCTGTTAGTTGAAGTCGTTGAACCAATAAACAGCAGTTTTGTTAGTTAAGACATGCATGCATCCTTATATAAATGTGACTATGCAGAAAACATTTGAAAGGCAAAAGACATTTAAGAATATTAATTTCAAGGTGCTCTGTCTTTTTTGAAGTTCAATTTCAATTCTAACTTGGATGAACAATTAATTAATCTCAAACTGATCATTTCAATTTTTAAAAGGTGTCCTGTTTTAAAGAGAATGGTGCAGTTATATATGCCGACTTTTAAAAGAAATAAGACCCTACCTGTGGTTGAATTGTCAGATGTCGTCGTTGAACCTATAAACAGCAATTTTTGATAATTAATATATATGTATTGTATGATAATTATATAAACGTGAATAAATGAAGAAAAAAATCATAAGATCATGCAAAAAAGGTTGTAGGTTTTCCCTAACTCTGAAGGGTCTGTTTTTAGCCTCCGGGTCAATTCTTTTTTTTTTAACAGATGAAAAAACAGAGCAAGACTCTTTTTTAAGACAATTACCAATGATGGTTTGATTGTGTAATAATTTCTTTAAAAATGTTAACTTTCATTATCATTTTAAAGTCAGAAATAGCTTATTTCTTACTATAGGAATCCTTGGCTTATATCACACTATTATAGATCATGATATAATGTCAAACAAGTTTTTTTTCAAGAATTTCATATCAGTGGTTTAAAAAAAAATCATTGTAGAGCGAAAATGCATGTGCCTCGTTTGATTTTTCGTAACAACAAAAAAATAATTCTCGATGCCGACCTTTGGGATTTTCTTTTGTTAGGGGAAACCAACATTTAATTTTCAATAGATATACATGTATTAAAACAATTATACTTTCAAGGTTCTTGGTCTTTTTGGAAGTTCAATTTGAATTTTAAATTATTGCATAATTGCATGAAACATTAACATTTCATTTTGTTCTAAATGGAAGGGGGCCTTGGTGGCCGAGTGGATTAAGTAGTTTAACTATTGTATCACTAGCCTGTCTACACTGAGGTTGTGAGTTCTACTCCAATCTTAATTGACTTAGATTGTCAGTTTTCTTATCGGAGGTCTGTGGTTCTCTCCGGGAACTCCAGCTTACTCCACATATAAAACATTGTCGCCTCAAAATAGCCAACAGTGCTGAAAGCAGCGTTAAACGCCGGAGCAATTATTTAAAATGTTCAATAGAAATATAACATTAGTAAAAAAAAAGTCACAGATTATATTAATCTATCAACTTGAGTGGATTGTATATAAACTTTTTAACCGGATACACATAAGTATGGAGCTCATTTCATTGACATTATTTAATTCGCTGTTGTGTTTTTACGTTTTTCTGGGAGTCCGAATTAACTGTCCAGCTCAATGAAAAGTGAAAATCAGTATATCATATAATTTATCATAGCTGTTGATTATAACGTCTGCAACGAAGTCTCACGTGGGAGCGACATTCAATCGGATTTTAGTTATTTAGGTCCCTTTTTGGTCATATCGGTCCCAATGTTTCTACGTATTTATACGTCCATGGCAATTAGATGTTTTGGTTTGAGCTTTGCTGACAAAGGTAACTCCAAAAAACGCTTCGGGCGCACGAAATTTATGAAGTGTATTGTCATCAAATAAAATTGAGAATGGAAATGGGGAATGTGTCAAAGAGACAACAACCCGACCATAGAACAGACAACAGCAGAAGGTCACCAACAGGTCTTCAATGCAGCGAGAAATTCCCGCACCCGGAGGCGTCCTTCAGCTGGCCCCTAAACAAATATATATACTAGTTCAGTGATAATGAACGCCATACTAAACTCCAAATTGTACACAAGAAACTAAATTAAAAATAATACAATACTAACAAAGGCCAGAGGCTCCTGACTTGGGACAGGCGCAAAAATGCGGCGGGGTTAAACATGTTTATGAGATCTCAACCCTCCCCTATACCTCTAGCCAATGTAGAAAAGTAAACGCATAACAATACGCACATTAAAATTCAGTTCAAGAGAAGTCCGAGTCTGATGTCAGAAGATGTAACCAAAGAAAATAAACAAAATGACAATAATACATAAATAACAACAGACTACTAGCAGTTAACTGACATGCCAGCTCCAGACTTCATTTAAACTGATTGAAAGAGTATGTCTTCATCATATGAATATCAGGCACAATCCTTCCCGTTAGGGGTTTAGTATCATACCATCATAACATATATGAGAAGAACATAACCCGTGTCATGCCAACAACTGGTTTTTTAAATAAATGTGTTTAGTGCCGATGAAACTATAGTTTGATTTGAAAAGAGCCCGTTTTAGAGGCAGTTTTTAAAAATAGTAAAAGAATAATCAGATGAAATTTTATATTCCACTAACTTATAGCTGGATTATTCCGTACAGATCCATATTCAGAAATTCAAGCTTGGTCAAACTAATATGTAAATATTAGTGTTTAACGCCACTTTCACCACTATTGGCTATAACGTGACGGTCAGTTTTTAAAAAAGTACAATCCTAGTCAATTGAAGTCGAATTCACATG